GCCTGGCGAGTGCGAGGTCACCCATGCGATTCTAGGCAGGATTCTGAAAACCTGACCCATAGAGAATGGAGCATTTTGTGACTTATATTCCAGAAGGAATGGGGATGTATTTGGTTAAGCCTGTCAATTACTAGAGCAAGAAGTAATGCAAGGGAAGGGGCTCTCATATTTTTAAATCACTTGTTAGAGGCCTTCTAAAGCATAACTAATACTAACCCAGAGTCAGCAGAAGGGAGGACCCTAATGGCCGTGTGTTTTATAACACAGTCTGCCCAGATAGCTGGAAGAAGTAACGAAAGCTGAGGCAGGACGCTAATCCCTGCGGCAGACCTTGGGTGGTAGAGGCCTTCAAAGTTTATATAACAGGGACCAGGCAGAATAGGCAAGAAGGAGAAGAGATTAGAGAAAAAGAAATCGCTTTGGGCCGCTTTAATTCAGCTGCCTCCTCAGGATGACTTGCAGGGCCCCTGAACTTTCCTCAGCGAGGTCAGGGGAGTCAGTGCTGCTCAGAGTCACCGGGAAGGAAGTGTCTGTCCTGATTTAGAGGGGCTGACCTTGCAGCGACTCAGCTTCCCGCACCCCATGGAGGGAGTCGACGCCTGGACCCAGAGGGCCGATCTGAAGGTACCACTCGTCCTGGAGGAGCCCTGGGTGACCACTGTGTGGCAGGTAAGAAAGAATAGGAAGTTGGCTTGGACACTGAGCACCGCTACAGAAACTCGCCCACTGAGCTCGGGTGCTGTGCAGGTCACTATGCTCTGTAACCTCACTCTAGACGGGGCACAGTGGCACTTCGAGGCCTTTCTGGGAATGGTTGGCATCCAGCGGTGGGACTTTGCCTGACAAGGAGTCTTCTTGTCACTCTTTGTCACTCTGAGGCATGAAGGGTGACAGTAAAAGTCCTTATTCAAAGACTAGAAGATGGTCCCTGGCTCGTGGCCTGTATCTCCAAATGTTTATTCACAGTGATGGTGGAATGACCTGTCTGGAGCAGGGGCTGCTACTGCCTTCCTGGCAGGAAAAGCTAAGAAGTTGTCATTCATTAGGGGCACACCGTCTTAAAGGTAAAGGACATCAGTGGATGTTACGGTTGACATATTGGGTTAACTTGAGAAATTTAGAAGTTTTGCTGAGACACTCAGCAGGGAGCCAGGATCCTTACTGGTAAACATCCTCATGCTGTGCAAGAGGAGGGCACAGAGATTTTGTGAGTGCTCCACTCACCCTGGAGGGGTGAGGTGGGCTGGTGGAAGATATAAGGGAGGAGAAGAGGCTTGTTTTCCTCCTTCTGCTCTGGCTGCTGCCTTGAAGCATTGCCCCTCAGCCACACCACCCTGCCTTGGAGCCCACTGATTATGGACTGAAACCTCCACAAACTGTAAGCTAAATAAACCTTTTCCTCCCTAATTTTGGGGATCATGTATTTTGTCTCAGTAACAAGAGAAAAGGAACCAAGACAGTGGATGACAAACCATCTCAGGCTGCCCTGTCACATCTTTGCAGTATATCACACTGTAACCCTTGCCCACTGTGAGGAAATATTCAAATCACAAAGTGTTGGTGTCTATAAATACTGTTTGGGGCTGCTCCCTACCCTACCCCTGCATTAAAAATTCTGAGTAACATGCATGTGTAATTAGGTGTACAGGGAAATTGGGCTTTATTTTGATGAGAAAGTTATAGGAAGGCATAAATGCTATTTTGTTGGGGCTATAATGTTGTGAGATTGTTTCAGAATGTAGATTTAAGGAAGGAAATGTATGAGATATAAAAATAGCTATAACAAGAGAATGTTTTTAGTTAAGAAAGGCGTTTGTATGGGGAGATTTTGCTCTCAAAATCAGAAGGTTAAAGGAAGCTGCAGAAGCTTTGCAAGGGGTGAAGCCTGTGAAACGAAACGTGCAGGGAGAGTGAAGCTGGCTGTAATTTACCGCCAAAGAGGACTCCTGGAGGAAGATTGGAAGGTTACGGGTTACGATCAGCCTCTACAGCCAAGTCCCTGTTCCGAAGGGCAGACGGAGCATTCCTTGAGTGTCCTCGCACCACTCTGTGGCCGGCACTTTGCTGTTAAATCCCAAGTTTCATCTCTTGATGGAGAGGTGAGCACTCCTTGCCATCATTACTTCAACTACCCAACACAGTACTGCCTTTATTTCAGTACACAGCCCCCCTGTGCTCCCCAGTGGGCCTGCAGATGAGCTTTAGACTGCTGGCCCAGATCACCGCTCTGCTGCATGTGCTGATTTCTCCCAAGGCAAAAGAGGCCATCGGGCTATCCCAGTGCCACAGGGAGTCTGGTCAGATGGCTCTGGGCCCCCTCCACCTCCCCAGGGGATATCTGTCTCTCAGCCACGGTCTTATGAGGCAATGCAGCAGCCTGGCTGCATCTCCTTCTAGCTCTGGGATGGTCGGTGAGTTCTGCAGTTTGTGCAGCTCTAGGCTGCGGTGCTGACGTATGTGCAGCACTCCTGCCTAATGTTCACGGTCACTTCCTGCTGGGAGGGCAGCAAGGAGCACTGCAGCCTGAAGTGGAGAGGGGCACTATGGGGCATGCTGGTGTCCACTGGGGAGGAGCCGAGGCTTGAGAGGATGCATATGAAACAGGAACATGCTACAGGGTTGATCCTTGGCTCTCCAAGGGTCAAGGTAGTTTGCTCTACAAATTGAGTACTGGTGGCAGTCAAAACATTAAAGACAGCAGCCATCTCCACAGCATTGGCACATGTATCACAGACATCCTCACTCTCTATACACACACCCAGGTGAAAATTGAAGCCCAGCTTCAAAAGTACTTAGGGTTCCCTAGTCTTTGCAACCAACTTTCAGCAGTCTCATGGCTGACCTGGGTGTGTTTCAAGGTACCGGCCTGAGTCAGCTCCCCTGTCTCTAGCTAAGCAAAGCGGCATTTGTTGCCAGAGCATCTCTTTGATTGTCCAAGGCTTTGCGTAGGTGGCCCTTATGGATCTGTGCACCCTCAAGGTGGTTTACATCTTTCCAGCTATCTTATTAAGTTTGCTGTGGGTTCGTACAACTCTTATATAACAAGTCTATTTGGTGTAATGCCCCCCAATGTGTAGATTTGAGCCTCCCCAAATTGCCCTTGCCTTTGGCTTCTAGAATCTTGACCACACCTTGTCATTCGAGTGATACAATGAAGTAATGATGTTTTCTCACCATACTAGAAAAAGTCTGGTGACGCAGCCAGGCCATTCAGGAGGGCAGGCGGGATTGACCGGCAAGGTGTCGGATCTGGAGAGGGCCTGGTGGGCTCCTCCTCTCGCTGTGGGTAGGGGTCCTGGTGGGGTAACGGGGAGGTGCAAGTGTTGGCAGGACGGCAGGTGTTCCCAGTTCCCACCATGATTCACAGGCCCTTTCTCTCTCAGCAGCCAGCAGTCGCCTCCGAGGCTCGTCCTGATGACCTGCCGTTTCCCGCACATGCTCTACGGAGCTGAAAGCGGTGCCCTTGCACAGAATAGTCGTGACTGTTCCCGGTTAACGTTGCTATGCTCACAGGGTACAGTTTCCCATCGGTCAGGACTAAAACTCTCATCGAATTACGGATACAATCCTCCCCTGCTGCCATTGCTCAGGGCTTGAAATATGGCTCATTCCGGAGCAAGGCGCCCCTGGTGGCGGAAGGGGTGTGAGCATCACATATCGCCCCTGTGTGCAGCCGTCAGTCTGCAGCTGTTACACCCTCGTGGGCTCTTGGGGTCTCCAGAGACCACTTCAGCTCTTTCTGTGTGCTCCAGGCTGAGAGGGAGGAGCCATCTCCACCATCCTCCTCCCTGTCACTCTGATTAATACTAACTCCAAAAGACTTGAGTCAGACACACAAGAATTATAGCTGTAATAGTGTAGTTAAGAGGGTAATAGGCTTAAAAATAAAAGCAAACATGCACATTTTAAAAATATTGCCAGCACCTTCCTCCACTCAGGTGATGTTGCACTTGAACTAGGTCCACGCCCTCCCAGGGCTCAATCAGCTACGCATGTCTGGGGCACCCAGGCCCATTCAGTCTCCCCTCTGTGGCCTGTGCTGAGTCTCTGGGAGTTCTCTGGCTGACTGCTCACCCGCCACAGCTTGAAGCAGTCTGTTCCCAGTAAGGGACTCATGGAGTGGGGGTGCTTCCCCTTCTAAGAGGCTCCTTCTGTTCCTCGAGGGGCTGCTATACAGGCCGGGTGCGCCTGCCTGGGAGCCTGCCAGACAGAGGCAGTGGGCGCACAGCCTCCAGGGCAGCCTGCTTGCACTTGCTGGACCCTGCGGCCTAAGGGTCCTAGAAGTGGGGAGCCCATAGGGGACTGCCAGGGCCGGAGGCGAGAACCTTGGAAACTGCTCTGGGAGGGCTTCTTCATGTTCCTGCGACTTGATTCAGGAACTTCTGAGCCTCCTAACATCGAGTCAGCTGTGTTGCCCATAGTTCAGGCAACTTTAGAAGCTCAGCCTGTCAGGGCTGGGGATTTAGCTCAGTGGCATAAGTGCCTGCCTTTGCAAGCAGGCAGTCGGTGAGTTTGATCCCCGGTACCGATAAAAAGGAAAAAGACAAAAAAAAAGAAGCTCAGCCTGTCAGTGTGTGGAGCTGCTGGGATTCATCTCACTGTGCACCACAACAGTGGTGGAAAGCACTCGAACCTCCTCGGGTTTGGTGGGGTCAGTGGGGACAGCTCAGGCACTGAACCTGGAAGAAGCCAGCGGGTGTCCAAGTTGTGTTAGCGTCTCCACCCCTACCCCAGTCTTCAGGTGCCTGAGTGGTCTATCAATAATTTCCCCCAGGTCGAGAATTCCTGGAGGTCAAGGACACTTTAAATTTGTCTCAGCCTTCTTGGCACCTGGAACAGTTCCTGGCCCACACCACCAGAGAAAGGCTGGCCTGGTCACAGGACAGTCAGTGACAGGGTAGCTAGGCTGACTGCCCAGGAGAGCTGGGACACCAGGTACTCACACCCTGCTTGGCTTATTCCCTTCACAGAAACTCGGGAGCCATGATGAGGTTCTGGGATTTTTATTTTTGCTCATTGTATTTTTAGGCCTTCGACGATGGGCTGATTTGGGGCCCCTTTGGGGTGCACTCCTGTGTGGCCAGTCCCACCCACCTCTCCCAGCCCACCCCTCCCACCTGCCAGTACTCTTCTCTGCTGGGGTGTGGAAGAGGGCTGCGCTGGTGCCGCCCAGTGCGTGCAGCTCCAGGCCCATGCTGACGGGGAACCTGGGAAAGGAGCCCTCCAGCCACTCTCCCACCCAGGTGCTCCAGCAGGAGAAGCCCTTACTCCCGGTGCAGGGGGCTTTTCTGTCCCTGGGGGGATGCCCAGGGGCTCTTAGGCAGCAGATCCCTCTGGGGTTCTCTCCTCCTTTTTCGGCCCAGCTGTGCACTTGCCCCTTTCTAGCCAGCAAGGAGAAGGTGGGTATCGGGGCGGAAGACCCCCGCGGCTCAGGACCTTCAGGCCTGGGGTCGCAGCGGACCCACATCTCCCGCAGGAGCCAGGTTCCTACGGACGCGGGACTGCGGCTTCTCTCCTCCATCTCGGCCCCTGCCCTGTCCCCTGGCTCCCAGCCGCAGCCCCCACTAGCATCTCACAGCCGGCCTGGGCGCAGCTCCGCCACCGGTGCAGAGCCCGTCGTCTGGGAGCCGCGCTGGCCCCGCTCCTGGAGGAGCGTGGCGCTCACCCCTCGCCCGCGCCCTCTCCTCCCGTGGCCGGTGCTAGCCTCGCTGCCGCCGAGGCGGGAGGGGAGAGCGCCGGCCGCAGCGAGCCTCAGGCGCTGTGCGCGCCCAGGCTGAGCACCGAGAAGGCGGCGCGGTGCTTGCGGAGCAGCAGTCGGATCTTCTCGTCGTCAGAGTCGGGGTCCAGGGGCTTGTTGTACTCGTCGTCCTCGTTCTCCGAGGGCGCTCGGTTCCCGCCCGCGCCCGCGCCTCCCGGGGCCCGCGGGGTGGAGGAGGAGGAGGAGGAGGGCTCCAGAGCGCTCTTTTTGCGCCACTTGGTCCTGCGGTTCTGGAACCACACCTGGAGCAGAGGAGCCGCGGTCACCGCGCATGGTGCAGCTGTCCGGAGGGGGTGCACACTGCGTCCGGAGGACCTCAGTGGCTTCACAGGGAGCGGGACCCCAAGGGTCACATTGCTGGGGCACCGCAGCCCGTTTGCTTGGGCTGCGACTCGGGCGCGGGAGTCCCCGCCTTTGCCACCTGGGGCCCTTGGGATGGGAGACGCTGTAAGACCCCAGGATGGAGAGGGGCTTCGGCCAAGTGCTGCGGGGGGTTCGGGTGCGGGGAAGGCCTCCTGCCGGCGATGCGGTTCAGGGACCCTGCTTGCCTAGCACACAAGAGGCCCCGCCTTGCACTCTCAGTACTGAAAAAATAAAATTAAGATAATAAAACAGAAGTCTCTCCTCTCCATCTTCCTAGGCCCTTACTGAACTTGAGTAATCTCCTCCTGTAACATGCACCTTTGCTGAGAGTGCTGAAGCCTGCACAAACCAGACAGAGGGGAAAACGCACAGGGGCAGTTGCTGTTTCCTGCAGGAACCCAAGGAGGAGCAAAGCCCAGACCTGGTCCCCACCTGCCCCTGACCTGCCCAGAAACAGCTGTGCCAGCCCTTAGCTGCAGGCCCAGTGGCTTCCAGGTTCCTTCTTGGTATCTCTGGGGCAGCCTAGCCTCAAGCAGGGAGAACCCGTGTACCCTCCTAAGCCTCCACGGGGCCTCCTGGCCACCCGTGTGGGATGCCCACCTCTCTGCCCTTCAGGCAGGGTAAGTGGAGGGAGGTGTCACAGTCATTTTAAAAACTGGCAAACTGGGGCCAGTTTTTTTGCTGGCAGGTGGATCAAGCAACATTGAGTTCTAATTCGGCAAAGAGGCTGCTGCTGGTGCAGGGATTTCTGACAGAGATGGTGGAGGTGGGGGAAGTGGACTTCCTGTGCCTGCCTGGCAGGGGCTTCTCTGCGAGGCAGACACTTTCGCTTGCATACACTCACCTTGACCTGTGACTCGGTCATGCCCAGTGAATACGCCAGCCTTGCCCTCTCAGGGCCAGCCAGGTACTTAGTCTGCTCAAAGGTCTTCTCCAGGGCGAAGATCTGGTGGCCTGTGAATGTAGGCCGTGTGTGCTTCTTCTTGTGCATGCTGTCACCCAAGGGGTCTGGGGCTGGTGGCAGGAGGGGAGCGGGTTAGCAAACAAGCAAGGGTGGGGTTCCGAGGGCTGCCTGCAGGATGCCAGCCTGTGCTGCCCCTGCCACAGGGCCCCAGTAATAGTGAACGTGACCTCTGCTGTGCCTGAGACTCCAGGGGCCCAGGGGGCCTCCAGCCTCCAGCCACTTAGGCTCCTGTCTTTCTAAGATTCTCACTGCTCAATGCTGCTGCTTTCCCAGGGAGAACAGAAACTTCCTATCACAAGACACCAAGACAAGGGAGCTCCTTTGTGCCACCAAGGCAGAGACTGGCACCTTCCATCCACAACTGCTACCCAAGAGCTGGGGTTCCTCCCTGTTTCCTTCACCCTGGACCTCAGTTTCCTCTGCTTATTGGAAAACAGGAAGAAGTCTGCAGTCCCAGGGCCCACTTCCTGGGAACTCTTGCATGGCCACGAGGACCTGGGGCGCCCGACCCGAGTCCCAGCCAGGGCAATCTGTCAGGAAGGCCATAGGGCCAGCAGGGCTCAGAGGAAGCAGAGTTCCCACATGTCTTACAACCTGCATCTCATTTCTTCTTGTGACAGATAGGGAGACCGAGGCACAGAAAGAGGAAGAAAACTTCTGAGAGATCGTCTCCCGTCCTCACCCTTAATTCACCACCAACTGTCTCAGCCATTGTTGGGTATGCACACACGTGTGTGCATACAATGTGTGCGTGCGTGCATGTGTGCATGCGTGTGTGTGTGTGTTCAGCACTGATGAGGAGAGGGTAAAGAGGGTATAGAGCTGTGGCAAGGCAGAAGGGAGGCACTGAGGAGATGGTAGAGATGTGTGACATCCCCAAACTGGGCTGTGGTGGGTACTCCTGTGTCGGAACTGTGGCCCGCAGCAGGCCTGGGCACAGATACTGCTGTGGTTGGCTTCAAGCCCCTGTTGCAGGGGAGCCTCTGTCCCTGCCAGGTCTGGGGAGGGTTATGGTGGCACAAGGATGGTTCTGGAAGCCACCGTCACTCTCCTCTGCTCCCAGGTGGGCTTGGCCCCCTTGTGCATGTCCCTGTCCCACTACATTCCCCGAGTGGCCCTGGGTCCCCAGAACCAGTTCTCTGGAGCCGACTCAGGGTGAGTGGGTGAGGGTCCCAGCCTCGTCTAGCTCAGCTGCCAGGAGCCTGGGCTGTTTCCAGCCTGCCATGGCTGTGATGCCCCAGGAGAGGGTGGAAAGTGGGCCCGTTTCTCCCGCCAGAGCTCAGTGGGCTCCAGATGATGCTAGCTGAAAGCTGGCTCTTTGGGAAGGTGATGCTGTGGCTGGCGACCCTCACCTCCAAGGTGGCACAGGCTCTGGGAACAACAGAGAGGGGCTACAGCTGGACATCACGTGGCGTGAGTAGGTTATGGCCTCCTTGGGTCCTCAGGAGGGCACTGAGATGGGTCAGATGGGCCAAGGCAGGGGTCAGGCAGCTGTGCCAGGCACAACTGGGTAGGCTGGGAGAGGGGGGGACCCTGTCTGCACCCATGTCTGAGCTGGGCTGTCTAGGCAGTCTGGGGGAGGTGGCTCCACACAGGAGGGCTGGAGGGCTTGCCCTGTACTCACCATCGCTGCATGACCGCCCGCCACGCCAGTCCTGGCCTGTGTCTGCCCAGCAGTTCCGGGTCCGAGAGGGGTACTCGCTCCCAGCCTTGGAAAAATTCCCCACCTGGGTGCCATAGTAGACCCCCTGAGAGCCCAGGCCACCGAAGCTGGCCACATGCGGGTAGCCGGAGAGGAGGCTGCTGTTTGGCGTGGCCACAGGCCTGCTCAGAATATCCGTGATCCCGTGGGGGGTCCCAGCGGCCAGCTGGGGGCCCAGCCCTGGGGGGCTGAGCTTGTAGAAGGAGTTCTGCATGGAGTACTGGCACATGGGAGCCTTCATCTCCGAGAACTGGGCCAGCGGTGCGTTGTTCAGCAGGAAGGTGCCCTGCAGGTTGGACTCCATGATCTTCGGGTCAGGCAGCGGGAAGTGAGAAGCCCAACCCAGACCCCTAAAGCCCAAACCGCCAGGCTCTGGACTCCAGTCTCATGGCAGGTTGGAGAATCCGAAGCTGGCTGAGCCCCCAGTGCCCTGTGCCTAGTGCATCCGGTCACCAGGCACCCGGATCAGTGACCCCAGGCAGGTGCAACCAGCCGGTGCAAGCCTCCTTGGGGCTCTGTCCCTCCTGCCCAGCCTGGCCTGGCCAGGGTGCTGCTTGAGCTCAGCACAGCCCCCTCCCTTGCTCTGAGTCGGGGACCCTAGATGAGAAGTTGAAGTTCAGAGAAGGGACATTTCCCTGATAAAGATACGGCCTATTAGAATACGAGCAGGGACTGGCTGAGCCGAGCGAGCTGCGCCGCCATTGGTTGGGGCCCTCACCGGCCTTGCATTGGTTTTTCCTGGACAAATTGCACTTTGAAAGATTGACTGTAAAGTCAGCCAGCGTGTGTGTGTGTGTGTGTGTGTGTGTGTGTGTGTGTGTGTGTGTGTGCACGTACCCCTGTGTGTAAGACACAGAGTAAGCAGAGAGAATGAGCTCTAGAAGCTCTCTGTTCATCGCCAGAGGCCCCTAAGAGAAGCGGGGTGTCTGAGGTCCCTGGAGGCTCCTTAGCAGCTGCTTCCCCCGGTGGGGAGGCCAGGCTCAGGTCCCTAAGCCGAGCTGGCCCAGCCTCCCTCTGCATGGCTGAGGTCCCAGCCTGCTTCCCTCCCCTCCCAGCGCCTGGACAGGGTAAGTGGGGTGAGTGTGGACGCCTGCCTGTGGGGGCCCTATCCTGGCCTGAGAGCCAAGGCGCAGCCTGCTGGGCAGACCGGTCAGCGTGGGCAGACTGGGCCGGCTCCGGAGAGGAGGTTTTCCTCCTCCCTGGGGCTGAGAGGTCGTCCCCACTGCCAAGAGCCAGCCTTTCCGATCGTTTTGCTGGATTAACTTCCGCATCCGGGTCTCTGCTGGAGCGGTGGCCCTGTGCCGTCCAGCTTGGTGTCCGGCATGAATCTCTGATGCTGAGATGCTTGTGCCTCGGTGGCCGAGCCATAGTTGCTGGGCACCCAGCAGGGCTGATGCCTAAACAGGGGTGAGTCTCAGAGCACCCACATTTCTCATTTTAAATCAGGGAAACTGAAGTACAGGGGAATTAACCTGCTTTCTAGATTCTGGTGTAATTTGTTTTGTGCCCGACATTCTTTCTTGAAGTTGTTCTCTGAAAACAGAAGCAGGTATGGCACCTGCCTGAACATACACAAGGATGTATTTTGTGACTGCTCTGTCTGATGGCCCTAGAGTTGTCCTGCCTGGGCATGGCGGCTTCAGGGACCCCCACAGCCCAGTTCTGGGTTTGGCAATGGGGAATCAGAGGCCCTGCCTGTTTCCAGGGCCTCTGATTCCCCACTGCCAAACCCAGAGGGAGTCCCTGTCTCCTGCACAGCTCCACTCTAAGTCCCCTTTCTGTGGCACAGATGATTTCAGTTCACTGGTCTGAGGAAGACCTTCCAAAAAGCATGCAGATGGCACTTCAGCTTTGTTATTTAATTAAAGCCAAGAAAACTTTTCTTAGTGTCTGACTTGGCTTCACAGCAATCATTGGGGAACTCGGCTGATTGCCAGGCTCCCTGGCCTGTGGCCTGCTGTGGAAATGCATTTGTGACCTCGGGATCCGCAGACAGTGCATGGTCCCTGACTGGACCTCAGGGTGACTGGGTCCCCTGGGCGAAGCTGGCCCTGGGGACCTTGGAACTGCAACTTGGGCACTCCCTAAGGACAGGGATTTCTGAGCAAGAAATCATGATGTATGATCTGATTCTGTTTCCTGTCGATGCAGCCGAAGTTGTGTCTAGGCATCCAGGAAGGGGCCCTTGAGTGCCCTCTCCGATGGGGCAGCAGGTGCCCAGCGCTCGAAGGGCAGGGCCGGCAGCTTCCAGCTGGCAGAGGGCTGCCCCGCGATGGATCCCTGGGGTGGGCAGCGGAGGGGCCCTGTCGAGGTGCACGTTCCAAGATCCCAGCCCTGGCTCCCCACAGCCCAGTCCAGGTGCACTCCTGTCCCCCCCCCCCCCCCCCGCGTATGCGCCGGGAAGGAGACGCCTTGCCATGAGTCGGTTTCTTTATTAAGGTGACATTTGTTCAGCTGGTGTAGGGACAATGGTCTATACATTGGGGTGGGCGGGGCGGGGCTCCCCCGGGGCAGAGCGCGTGGGGGAGACCAGAAACGATTCGTTTTTCATAACATTTAAAAAATCAAGGTCATTTCAAAACTTCTAAAAAGCGTCTACGGAGCACACTGCAGCATTCTCTAGGCGTCGAGTGGGATCCCAAAGTCCTCCCCTACGCGGCTCCTACTAGCAGCGGGAGCGCGGCCAAGCAGCCAAGCAAGGCGGAGCAGCAGGAGCCAAAGCGCCGGGAGGGCCGCAACCCGGGAGAGGAAGCTACAGGCTCCGCCGCGCGGGTCCGGCCGCGTCCGCACGCTCGGGCCGCGCACTGTGCAAGAGCCTACGAGGCCGCAGCCGCAGGGACAACCCGCGCGAGCTCTGCCGGGCCAGAACTTCCTCTCTCCGGGCGCCCCTTCTCCTCCTCCCTCCCACGAAGCGGAAGCCCGCCCCGCCCCAAGGGTGCAACACCCCTGGGCCGGGAGGCGCCGCCCGGAACGCGGGGCTGGGCTTCAGGCTTGGCCTCGGCGCGGAGGCGTCTGTGCTACTTGGAAGGTTTGGGGGTGTCCCGAGGACGCCTCCGGAGCGGCCGGGGAGGAAGGCGCCACGGAGCGCGAGGAGAGCCCGCGGGGCCCTCCAGGCGGCCGCATTGTGCTGATTCGGGGCTCCCCGCCGGAGGCGCCTGGGCGTTAAGGCTCTGCCCGGGGCCCGGGGAGGCGCGGCCGCAGGGAGGGCCCTGTCCCGCACCACTGGCCTTCACCGGCCGCCCTCTGCCCCAGCCTGCGGGCTGCCTGGACTTCGAGCACCAAGTTGGCTCCGGGAGACCTGGGGCTGGCGGCTACATTCACTGGCCCTGCCCTGCGCTTTCGGGGACAGCCTGTAGCTCCTCCTCCCGTAGGCCGGAGCAGTCCTGGGAGCCGAGCTGTCAGAGCTTCTCCATACTGCTAAGTGTCTCTAGTGGTTTGCATAGTATTTATTGTTTTCTTATACACAAGGCTGATTACTGTACAGTTTACACTTTGGACACGGACTATGGTAGAAGTGCGTGAAGATCTAGAAAACCTCTTCTCTATGGTCATGCTGGTGCAGTCCTGGCAGCCACCCGCCCTCCTCCGCTGACCTTTCCGCTCTGGCACCCCGGCTCCTTCTGAGCCCTCAGCTAAGCGCGGGGTCCTGGCCTCTGACCCTTAGATCCCTAATGCAAGGATCCCAGTGCAAGCTCAGGGTGATGCTTTTCCACTGGAAGATGATTAATACTGAGACTGGCAGAGAGAGAGAGACGGAGAAGGAGAGAGGGAGAGAGAATAAAAAGCCTCCCAGTTTCTCCACAGCGGAGTCCACACAGGGAATTCGGAGGGTCCTGTGTGTCTCAGTGTGGGACTGTCCTGGGGTGGCAGAGGTGGCAGCAGAATGGAGGTGAGTGTGGGCAGCCACAGCCGATGGACACGGGACTGAGGTGCTAACCTGATTTTGTCCCTAGTTTTGTTTTTTTTTTTCTTTCCAGGAAGCCCACATAGATTTCTTACAGATGAAGTGGGAAAAAAGTACCCTGTACAAAGTCAAAAATCAAAACAATTTAAAAAAACCTCAAACCATCCCCAGCCACAAAAGAGCCCTTTGCGTTCATTTCGCTCTGTCCCTGGCCGTCCCCTCCCCTCCTCTCCTTCCCCTCCTCTGGCAGACAGATTGAGTCCCGGAGTCAGGTCGCTAGGGCAGGATGGCAGACTGTAGGTCATGCAGAGTCTACAGCCAGTCGTTCATGCGGTAGGAGACTAAAGGAGCCCCTCACAGAGTTCATGCCGGGAGCCGAGAGGAACATGGGCAGCGCTCTGTCACCCTCTGGTCCAGCTCCTCCTGTGTGCATGGCAGAGTGTATGGAGTCAGGGGTTGGGTGTCGAGGTGTGATCCTGGGGGACACAAAGAAAGAGTGACTTAGGACTGCAAGGTGCAGCGCCCAGCAAAAGTCCCAAGTGTGGAGTTTGGTGCGGGCTGCTCTGGCGGGCCCCCAAGCAGGAGTGGCACTGAGGGTGCCCTGCTGCACGTTGACCTTCCTTAGCTCAGTCCATCCATCCCTGCGCCCCGCCCAGAGGCCACCGCCCTGGAAAACCTGAGTAGGAGTAGGGAGAGGGCTGTGTGCTGCACTCCAAAGACAGGCAAAAAGCCACAGGACCCTGCTCGTAGGAAAGTCATTCCATGAGCCCAGGCCGCCCCGTGGAAGAGGCCAGGCCAGATGGTGCAGCCTTCACATGCTCAGCCCAGCCTGGCCAGTGAAGACTGAGGCCTGCTCTGCACTCATCCTGGAGACGGAGAGGTAGGACAGCTAGGACTCTGGCCCCAGCATGCAGGGCTCCAGGTAGAAGTGTCTTGCGGAGACGGGGACTTTTCCCTGGACAGGGCAAGGCCTGGGCTGGGATTCATAACAAGGACCCTGGCTACCCCTAGGGCCTCATCCACTCCATGCTTTCAAGACCAGGCTCTCAAGATGCTGTCTACATCTTGGGATCTAGGGATGGTGGAAGAGGGGGAGGTGACACGGAAAGGCAGTAAGTCATTCTGAGGGAGCCAGGTGGTCCCAGGTCTAGAGCTGTCTGGGGCCCTGCAGGGCATGACCAGGCAGAGCTAGCCGGGAGAGCTCCGCCAGGACTGGGGGTGCTCCTAAAACCAGGCACTCTGCTGTGGTGGCTTGATACTGTCACCTGGAGGGGCCATCTTCTGAACCCCACCATGTGGTCTCTATTCTCCCTGGGGAGGCTGTTAGCTACTGTCCTCCCGCTGAGTCCTGCCTGCCCCTCAGGGCATCCCTCCTCTTAGCTGTCCCTGCCGGCCACCACCTGTCTGAGACCTCAAGGACTCTGAAGCCAGACTGCCGAAGTTCAAGTCCTGTGTCTGCTGCTACCAGCTGCCTCCCTGTGCTCAAGCTGCTCACCTGCTGTGGGGAGAACAGGGTCCTCCGCTGTGAGGGTGCGGGAAACCTCCCCATTAGACCACGGTGACGCCTGGAAGACCTAACAGACCTGTGCCATGTTTAGGGCTTCAGACATTCTGTGCTCTCTAGAAACCCTAATTCTTTGTTTTCTTTCCTTTTTAGCGCTGGCATTGGCATTATTTGCCTGGCTAGACTAGGGCCAGGGAAGCCACGCATACCGCAGCGCCCATGCCAGTGCTAAACGTGTCCTCAAGCAAGGAGCCAAGTGAGCCTGCAGCTTGGGAAACACCCACTTCTAGTGGGGGAAGATGTTCAAGTCTTGGAGGCCAGCTGCCCGCTGTCAGGAGAAACGGACTTCGGAGCAGTGTGGGGTGGGACGTGGACCCACACCTCTGGCTCAGCCAGGCCTTCCTAGGCCCTGCTTGCAGAAAGGACTCTCACCCTTTTGGATCCCAGAAAACCACCCCTTGCACTCTGGGGTGTGTCTGCCAGGTTTCCCCTTGTCTTCTCTCTTGGTAGTGGCCCAGCCTCTGCCCCCATCGCATGCCCACGCTGTCCCCTCTCATCCAGCCCCTCATGCTGATGTCTTCCCAGTGTTGGGCATGACAGTGGACTCAGCTCCAAGCAGCAGAATGTGCTCTGCTCCATGTCCCTCCCGTCCAGACTACTGCAGAATTTTAAATTTATCCAAACATTCTACTGTCAGACCTAACACCAATCTTACAGCTACACTGAAAGGAAAGTGTCCCTTAAAAACCGAAACAAAGAGAGACAGTAGCCTTTCCCACCTGCAGCTCTCTAGCGGGCCCTTGCAGGCAGAGCTGTGCCAGAGGAAGATGGCCTGTCAGGGTGCTGACCCTGGTCCTGCAGCACCTCTGCCCCCACTCCCATCCTGCGACATCCACGCGGTAACACTGGGCACAGAGCAGAACCTACCACTTCCACTACCTGCTCCAAACCACCAAACCCGACTGAGCAGCAGTTTCTGCTTGGCAACTTGACCTTCCAGAAAGTGCCTTAACTACCAGGCCTGGATATCAGAGCCTCTCTGAAGCTGGGAGTGGCAGGGGAGTCCACTGAGCCCTCCTGAGGTGGCAGGTCCTGCCCCTGCATGAACTGCCAGCCACTGTTCATTCCAGATCCCTGTGCCACCTGGCATCAGGAGATGGGAAGGAGACTCAGAACGAGTCCTAATGACTTGATTTTCAGCATGCATAAAAAGTGCCTGAGCACATGCATGCAGTTTTGAGCTCCAGAATTTTAATCCAGAATGACTGGGGTAGACTAGTCACTCACGGTTTCCCCTTCGCAGTGCTACAGAAGGAGTCCAGGATCTCATTCACCCAAGGCAGGCCCTCTACCCCTGGGCTGCATCCTGCCCAGGAATCCACATATTAAGACTCTTTGTGACTGTAACAAGGCATGTGGACCGCACGCCATGGAACTTTGCAGTTTATAAAGCCCTTTCACAAACACCAACTTATCGATCCCTATAGCTATCCTGCAAGGAGAATATTGGCATTATTGCTACTTTGTGGATAAAGGACCTGAGGCTGGGCAGGTCGATCGACTTGCCCTGAGTGCCGCTACAGATAAACCTGCCATTGATTGAGACAAGACCCTGCATGTTCTTATTTTCTCTTTACAGCCACGCTCGCAGTTACACAGAAACTTCTTTCTGATGCTAGTGACTGAGCCCAGGCCTCACGTGTGCTAAGCATGTGCCTTGCTGCCGAGCTACATCCCTGCAAGTGGTCTTCTCACAGGGGCAGGTGCCATTTCGCCTCCGCTGAGGAATCTGACACTCGAGGATATTCAGTGACCCGCTCAGGTCTCACCACCTGGAAGTGGGGCAGAGGAGGGGTCCAGGCTTTGAGTCTTGGCCTGCTCTCACTCTGAAACCCAGCCGGCTTCCTTAGCAGCCCTGCCCCTCAAGGCAGGCGGACATGGACAGTGCACACTGGGCCACTGCCCCGGGGGAAATGCAAGTCTAGATTCCTGTGAGCCTTTCACAACTTTGTCCCCTGTGAACACACAGCCGCTTCCTCAACCCTGTTCTCACACTGACAGCTCCTGGGCTCACCCAGAGGGGTACGCTGCTCCTCCTGGAAGGGGCGGTGCAGCCTCTTCCTGCACCGAAACACAGAACGGCCCTTGGACACCACCTGCAGGGTTGTTTTCAATGGCAAGAGCACCAGGAAAGGACATGGGACACACAAAACATCGTTCACGTGGACAGCCAGGGCCACGAGTCTACAGCATAAGGGCTGAAGCCACCCATGGCACAGCTTTGCCCAGCCCCGCCTGGCTGGCAGCAGGCCTTTGCTTCTGGGTGTGTATATGTGAATGACCACAAAAGCATGGTAAGCGCTGGCTTTGGGTTAGCGAGTGGGCAGATATGCATATAAGGATTGACTGGATGGACCTGCTTGCAAGCTGGTGGTGGGAGGCGGGCAGCACTGGCCCGCAGCCCCCCTTGCTGCCTTTCTCTGGCCTCGGCTCTGGCCATGAGGGTTCAGCACTCAGGACCTCAGCAGAAGCTAGACAGTGTTCCTGGGCCCCTCAGCACCATCCCCAATGCGAGCGTCCCTTTACCTTCACTGGCAGAGGGCCCACTGCTGCCAACAGCCAGCTTGTCCCCCACTGGGGCCCAGTTCCTATGCCCTCCGCAGCTTTCAGCCTCTCCACAGATCATCTACAGCAAATTAAAGAGATCCCCAGCTGCCTTGTGCCCAGCCTAGCCACAGGCTGTCGAGACACTGGTAGAACCTCAGCTCCTCCTGAGCTCAAAGTTTAAAGCTGCTGCTGCTATGATGAGAAAAGTTGGGGCTGGGGTTTAGCTCAGTGGCGTAAGTGCCTCAGCACCAAAAAACCCAAAACAAAACAGAAGTCAGGCACAAGAGGGCTTTTCTTTACACTCAGCTTCCTACATTTATTTGTACCTCTGGGTCATTTCCGGGACGAGGAGGCTACCTTCTACACCAGGGCCTGGCAGTTTGGGGGTTAACTCGGTGACCTGCTTAAGCTGCTGAGGAGTCAGACCTAATTTTACCCTCTGATTGGATTGCCAGGCCTCTTTTTTTGCCCAAGTGCTGTGAGATATGTTGGGAAGCCCCAAGTCAGCAGTTCTGGTGGCTCAGGAGGCAGTGGGCCTGCTTTTTTGCAGAATGCAGGAATTCAGTGCCTCTCGATGCCCCAGAGCCAGAGCCCACCCCAGGAACGTGCTCCCCTGCTCAGTACTGTGTTGGGCTACAGTGCGTCCTTGCTCCCTGCTGTCTCCCACCCCGATGCATCCTGTACTGAGCTGCCCCGAGCGGGGCACAAGGAAGGGCCTCGGGGCAGCTCAGTACAGGATCCCTCAGGGAGGCTGGGATCAGAGCTGGCTGAAGCCCCCAGCACTGTGCCACCCACTGAGACCAACGCTGTGCATCACCGCGCTCACTGCCTGCCACCACCCCAGCCCCTCTGCCCACACACCAACCCCAGCCCCAACCCCAGCAACCCTCCTGCTGTTCCAGAGGATGCCACCTGCCCCAGACCTGTCAACTTAGACCCTTCCTAGAAAGCAAGGGGGCAGCCCGGTTCACAGAACAGCAGGGAATGGCAGCCTGCTCAGCACTTCAGTTGGGGTCAAGTTCAAAGGCCATTCCAGCCCCAAGCCTTGGATCCCCTTCCTGAAACACTGCAGCCCATACCTGAGACCTCCCTGTGGTCAGTGCTCTGCCCGACAAGCGCTGCAGCCACACTGCTTGGCTTCCACAACTACTTAGACTGTCAGAGTGCTTTGCACTCATCCAACCATTGTTTGTTTCAAAATTGCACAGGGCTGGGGGTGAAGCTCTACGGTAGAGCACTTGCCTACCATGCAGGAGGGCCTGGGTCTATCCCAGCAATGCAAAAACCAAACTAAACTAAACTGACCCAAACCAAGCCAAACCGCAGTGTGTTCATACACTCCCTGAGAAGCAGGTGAGATGGGACCGCTCTGTCCTTGGATGGGGACCCTTGGCAGGCTGCTAGATGGGTGCAGGAATCTGGGGGTCATCTACGTCATGTAAGGGATGGGGAAGAGATGCAGGTGGAACTGGTGCAGCCATGCCACTGCCACCAGGACTGGCCATGCAGAAAGGAGGAGAAAGCTGCGTTACCTCCCGAGAGGCTACTCCAAGGAGAGAGGCTTGTGATCACTGTTTGCCCCGTTTCAGGCTGGCCCGCTTCACTATCTGAGCCCCTTTCCTGCCCTCCAGCAGTTCCGGCTGTAGGCCACTGCCTCTCAGCTCCACCTGGAGACAGCAGCAGGGACAGAAAGCAGGACAGGTCACACAGAGAGATGAGCGGAAAGCAGGGAGAAGAAAGGGAAGTGGACAGTGTTGAGCTGGAGGGACACTGTCTCAGAGGAAAAAGGGGACAGAGGGAGGCGAGGTGCTGACCCAGCTGGCAGAGGCACAGGTGAGCGAGCACTCTGGGCCCTTTTGGAAGAGTGGCCATCAGGGCCACAGCCCCTCAGTACCTTGTCAAGTTTTGTAATGAAATCAGGGTCGGTTTCCAGCACACTAGTGTCCTTCTCCAGGGGGCCCCCGACAATCACCTCCTCATGTTCCTGGGTGTCATCTAGCTGCCTGACAACTTTGAGTGTGATCTGGAAAGAGAAAGAAGTGGTCAAGCCACCCAGGGAGAGAAGAGGGAGCCAAGTTCCCAGGAATGAGAGGAGGAGGAGCTGCCCTGCCAAGGGGCCAGAGGGGCTGCTTCCGACCGCTGACGCCTGGTGGGCCAGCTCACAGAGCACAGGTGGCAGAGGGCTCACACGCGGCACCTCCTGATCAAGGTGGACTTGATGACATCTGTCTAGAGCCCGCCTCACTTTCCTCTGTCCCGTGTCGCCCACTGCCGCAGGCAAGGGCATTTCTTTTTCATCTGCAGGAATTCCTTTCACCCCCCAGCTCTCCCTCCCTCCCTCACCCTTCACATCTGCCACGTGCTCAGAAGTGGGAGAAGAAGCCATGAACAGACACAGCCGTGGCCCACACAGAGGTCAGGGCTGTGTGCCGCGCCCCTCCTCTGTGCAAGCACTGTGGGTGCCGGGGCAGCGTCCTCCCGCCGCTCATCCCCAGCCCCAGGTAGTGTGAACCGACACCCACCAGGCTGAGTGAACGTGAACTACTAGTTCAGGGGGTGTCCACGTTCTTAGCAGCAGCAGCTGGGAGGCCAGGGACAGGCACACTGTTCTCCCAGCAACTGTCTTCAAGGCTGGGCACCATGGAACTAGGTCTGGGACGGTTCCCAAGGGCTGCTCCTCTGGAGCAGGGGATGGGCATTCAGGTCAGGTCGGACATGCAGGCCATGAGGAATACCACGTCCGAACACAGAAGGCCAGCGCTTAGCACCTGCACCCTCCTGTAAGCCATGTGGGGGGGGGCAGCCGAGGAGGAGGAGGAGGAGGAGGAAGAGGAGAAGAAGGAGGAGGAGGAAGAGAAGGAGGAGGAGGAGGAGGAAAGGCCTCCTGTGCGGGCCACATCATGAGACACTGCCAGGCGAGTCCTGCTATCTTTCACGGCCCAGCCCCCACCTGCCTGTCTCCAGCTCAGGGGACGCTTTGCACTCACCTTCTTGGTGACTAAGTTGCCCTGTTCATCTGTGTATTGTTCCTGTGTCACCTGCTCCCCTGGAATATTTTGAAGCTCGTTCCCCTGGAATTGGAGGAAGAGGAAAAGGAGCCAAGGTTGGTCAGTGGGAACAGGAGCCGAGGAGGAAGGAAACAGCAGTGGCAGCAATAGATGCCTAGGAGAGAGTCCTCCACCACCACCCCCAGCAGGAGATCATGTTCGGCACTGACGCAGCCACGCTTGGCCCCAGGGCACCACGGTTGGAGATGGCAGGGCCCTGGGCCCTCAGGGGTCCCAGAGTGGGCACGACAGGGATGAGACTGAGCTACCATAGGAGGTCTGGAGAGCAGAGCAAGGGAGACACTAGGGTCACAACTACAGAGGGCTGTCCTGCACGTGACGTGCCCACACTCCACAGCTGGTTGATGACACACACAGGGCAAAAGCAGGCCGCTTGTGTCCTACAGCTGAGCTTTCTCAGCTATGCACCACACTGGGCACTGGGGGCTCCATGCACAAGCTGGTACCCAGTGCCAAGTCTGACCCTTGAAGGCCTCCTGGTCCTTTGTCAACACACAGCTCCTGGCTGGAGGGGCTCTTTCCCTACCCCAGTCCACACAGAGCATGACAGTGTCCCCTCCGCCCGGCCTCTGCTGCCCCAGCCTGGTGGTTACCTTCAGGAAGACCCTTCGCCGGACCACCCTGGTGGAGACAGTCTCCTCGTCGTCGCTCAGGCCCTCGCCCTCCCCGAGCTCCTTGTCCAGCTCCTGGTGGATGTGCTTCAGCACAAAGCACAGTGAGCCCTTGACGATATGCATCACATTCTGACAGCTGACCAGGAAAAAGCCCAGCAGCACCAGGGTGACCAGCAGCTGGGTGATGAACGTCCACATCCTCACCTCCGCTCACCAGCCTGGCTGTCCAGGGACCAGCACAGCCAGGGGCCGGCCGCTGTGGGGACTCCTCTCATTGTCCTCGCCACCCCTTGGCTCCTTTCATTCTGCCTGCTCTGCCTCCCTGGTTTGCTGTCTGCCCCTCTCCCTCTGCCCTGTCCCTCTCCCTGGCAGGAGCCCCAGGGGGCTGTCTCAGCTCCGCTGCAGCAGAGTGGCCTGCATGGCCCTCCTGCCCCCACTCTTGGTGACATCAGGTGCCTGTAATTTTAGCTCTCAAACCAGTTGTGGGGGCTGTCCCACTGGGCTAGAAGGACACTGGCAGGTGCTGCCCCTGGCCTGGAGGCACATATCAAAGTCACCGCGGAGGAGGGGGGCTGGCCACTTGCCTGGCCAGCTGGCCTGTTCCTGCAGGCAACAGTGGGAGTCCTGCCCTGCCCTGTCAAGCTTCTGGGCCAGGGACCCTGGAAAATAAGAATTCCGAGAATGCGGCTATGCCTGTGTCTCCCCAGAGAAGAACAAGCTCCCCTCACTGAGGCCTGGGACTTGCAAATACCCTGGACACTCAAGGGTGTGTTGCAAAAATAGCCTGGGGGAGTAATGTGCCCAGGCCCAGCCCAAGGAGCAGGGCTCGGGCATGAGAAGGCCACTGGGAGGCTGGCCCTCACTCGGTCCCCACAGGCTGTCAGTCTCTTGCTTTAGGGAGCACAGCCACTCCACTGGGGACCTGAGTGTGCCCGTCAGAGCCTGTCCGTGATGCTCTGCTCTCCTCGTGGCCCCCACAGAAGCTGTGGGGAGGAATTCCACGTTCTTAGTCAGACTGTTCTCGAGTGGCAGAAAGAGCACAGACCTGGGACTTAGTAAACTGGCCCCATGAGTCACTTTCCAAGGAGGTATGCCCATGCCTCAGTTTCCCCATCTGTAAAAGGGAGATGAGGTGCTGCACTTACCCCTCTCCAGAGCACCTCTACAAATAACAATGCAAGCCCACTGACAGCAGCCCACTCTGCAGGTACCTTGTGCGCGTGCGCACGTGTGTGTGTGTGTGTGTATGTGTGTGTGTAGGCCCACAGCCACCCTGCACACGCCTCCTGGCATCCTCCTGTTTCCCACTAAGGAAAAGGTGGAAGAGTAGGGAAGTGAGTGACTCAGGTTCCAAACCCCTGCCATGCCCAGTGCACCTGGCTGCAACCAGAAGGAGAAGCACAGGAGGAGGCCATTGTGGGAGCTGAGCGGGGCTGAGTGGGGGCTCCATGCCTAGTGCACACGAGGGCCCGAGTTCCATACCCCAAGATGAAAAAACAGCCACACAGAGGAGCCCGCCTTCAGCTCTTTCCACCAGGCTGCCCGAGCGATGGCCCTGGAGTCCCTTTGGCCTTTCCTCCAGGCACACAGGGCCAGGATTGCTACCACTCTGTTGCTGCTCCCTGAGAATCAATGGAAACCTGGGCACACGGGGCTTTATGGCCTCAGCCCGCCTCTCTGACACTCTCCTGACAATCACCAGTCTATCCTTCAGAGATCACATCTGAGCGTCCCCAGACCAGGGTCTTGGTTTCCAGCATGGCGGCCCCGTGTGTTCACTCTGCCCAGAAGAACACGGAGCTGGGGACCAAGCCACCTGCACTCTAGGGCCCTGGTTTATCATGTGACCCTGGAGAAAACTACTAGGCCTCAGTTTCCCCACTTATAATCCAGGATGGCTGAGAGGCCCCATTCTGGGGCATCCTGGGCTTGTCTTACTCCAGGGCTGCAGCAAAGAGCACTCCTGACTCCCCCTGCCCCAGGACTCAGAGCTGACCCAGGACAGATCGCCTGTGTGCTGGGCCACATGAGCACTCCTGCGAGAGGCAAGATGGGCACCAAGAAAGAGCCTAGATGCACCAGCTGGTCCACGGTTAACACGCACAGTGCCTCAGCATCTGGGTGCACACATCTGGCTTTCAGCCAGCCACTGAGAACCCCTGGGAAGCCAACCAGGCCCAAGTCCTCCGAGGTGCTGTGCCAGGGCCCAGGCCCAGGGAGGAAAGCAGGGAGAGGGGCAGGAAACAGCTCCTGGATGAGGACTGAGACAGAGGAACCATAAAAGGTGCAGAACACACAGGGATGCTCTTGCTCCAAGCATGTGAGACCTGAGAGGCACCCGGAGGGTGGACGGCACCCATCGCCCGCAAGCCTGGACTGTGGGCAGAGCACCCCAGGGTTGAGGGACCCTGGCTGGCCGAGAGTGGGTACCTAGGGACCTGTGGAGGAGAAGACTGGCTTTCGGGGGGTAAGGAGAGCAAAGAGGAGATGGTGAGCACAGAGAACGCAGGGACAGCAGGCAGGAGGACAAGAGGATGAGGCCAACAGCAGAGAGGACCGCAGGGCTGACTCCACCCTACTACTCGCAACCCAGAGGCTGCACAAGAGTCACCCTGCTGGAGAGCTTGCCACCCTCCCTTGCTACTGGCAAAGATGCTGAGGGCCAGGGAGCCAGTCAACCTGGTACCTGGTTCTTAGAAGCCCTTCTGGAAACATGATGGACAGAGGACACTCCAGCTGCGACTCAGAGCATGACCCACTCTGCTGGCCACAGCCACCCCCCGGCTGGGATGCAGGGACAGACGGCAGCAGCACTGGGCAAGCCCTCCCTTCCCTAGATGGCCAGGAGGCAGAAAGGGGACAGAGACTGTATACCCTCACTGAGAGCAGTCACCACTGCTATTGTGATGCCGGACCAGAGGGCTGGGTGGCCCTTGGGGCTCTCACCTGCTGGAGGGTGCTCACGGCCACCTGCACCTCATCTTCCCTGCCGGCCCGGGGGCCCTGGGTCTCAGGCTGTGCTGTCCCTGTGTGCTCGCTGGTAGGCACCAGCACGTCGCCATGCTCTGGCCCTTGGACAGTGGACGGTGTCGTCCGGAATGGATATGGGCCTTGCTCAGCATCTTGCAGGTAGGAGGCAATGGAGCCTTCTAAGTCCCAGTCTTGTAGTCTGAGTTCAGCACGGGACACACAGCCAGGGAGACAGAAAGGGCACTGGTCACTTCCGGTTCTGCTTTCTCAGACAGCCCCCCCCCCAGGCCCCTGGGTCATCAGGCCACAATGTGTGCTGTCCTCTTCCCCAAAGGGCTGGGACAGTACAAGCAAACCACCTGACCTGCTCCCCAGTGGGGAGACACATAGGGCCCATGTGCCATCAGGGTAGAGAGGACCACAGGACCAGGCCTCCATCCTCTCCCTTTCAAGTGACCTGCTCCCCTCAGGGCTCCCAGCAAGGCCTCCACACCCATCACTGGGAACCCTCAGACTGTGCTGCCAACAGCCCTGTGCCCAGTCACTCCCACTCAACGAGGTGACTGCTGTCCCTCTGCAGTGCCCTCCCAGAGTACTGTCGGCCTGCCCTGCCCTGGCCACTCCTTCGCAGCGGCTCCTAACACCCTGTACTTCTGGACCCCAGAGCAGCTCTCAGATCTCCATGCTGTCCACTCCCATGGCCTAAGTGACTTCCTCCCACCCATCATTTTAAACTGTCAGGACACTCACACCTGGATGCACACTTGTGGCTTGGCCTCAAACTTTAGATACACAGGTCAATGGCTTCTCAGCTTTGGCTAAGTGTAGATATGTGTGTCGACACCCGCTCTGATCTCCACCTTGGGTCTTAACAGGACAACTGACCAGGTGTGGCATGTGCAGTGTTCTGTGCCTACCCACCTGCTCCTCGCTGCAGTCTGGAGTGGAGCCAGGCCCAGCATCTTCCTCCCTGCCCTTGTAGGAGGCCAGGGAGGGGACCGGCACCCTCCTTGTCTCCTCGCTCTCACACTCTGCATCACATTCATCATCTTCTGGTTCCTGAGTTCAGGCTTTTCCCACCTGTGCTGCCTTTGGTCCACACCACCAGCCAGCAGTGGCCTCCCTGTCACCATGCCAGGCTCTTTTCAAAGCAGTGAATGCATCACATTGCTTCTCTGCTCAAAACCTGCCCAGGAAATGCCACACTCCTTTGGGGACCTTGAGGCCTGGCACTGCTGAGCCTGTGACCTCCTGGTCTCACCCTCTGCTCACTTTTCCACAAGGCTGGCCTGGCTGGGCACGCTCCCCTTCACACGTGTGCCCTAGCTGGGCACATCCTCTTCGAAGGGGATTGAGGGCAATACATCTTTTATTGTAACACATTTTAAAAACAGGAACATTCACTGTGTGTTTTGCTCAGGGTTTGTAGAATGGTGACCTGTGCACATCTCCCTCTGTACTTTAGACAGTATGTTTGTTACTCATAGTGACAGCCATGGTATAAATGCTGCACTGGTCAGGGAATAAACTGCAGAGGTCTACATGTTTGGTACAGATATAGTTCTTTACCTGTAGATGTGGAACTCATGGGTATGGGGATCAACTGTATGTCAGAGTTGACCTTTATCTCATTAAGCATGGCTAGAATATGAGCTTCCTGCAGGGAGAGACTTTTGTCTGATTTCCCTACTGCCATCTTATAGTACCTAAGCATTTTTTAGAGGTGCCTGTGGCATGGTAGCTGCTCAATAAATATTGTTCAGTGACCAAAATTCACCTGTCCACACTGGTTGACTGGCCAAGCTCAAAGAGTGAGGAAATGCTACAACCTGCCTAGAGTTGAGGACTCGTGGCTCCCTGCAGTGACCCTGCAGTTTTGAGGCTGCAGGAGCTGCATGCAGCAAGCATTTGATAAATGTGTGTGGAGGGAGGACCGCCACGGTCCCAGAGCATGGGGAGGTGGCCAGTGTTCTACCACGTGCTTCTGCAGCCCCTGCCTGTCCAACACTCTCCCCACCAACCACAGGACACAGACAAGCCTCGGCTCTTTTGGCAGAATCTAGGGCTTGTGCTGTGCCACCTCCCTAGCTTTTTACATTGTGAGTCAGGGTCTCTCCAAGTTACCTTGTCAGGGCTTGAATTGCGACTGTCCTGCCTCAGTCTGCTAAAGAGCTGGGGTGATAGGCATATGCCAGCAATACAGCTCAGAGCCTATCGTCTAAATGCCTTCTCCCATTGTGGTCCACACTGACTAGACCCTGGGGAGGACTGGGCCTGAGGGGCACCAAGCACAGCAAGAGCACTTGTGAACAGCTTCAACTCCGTTGTAAGCTATGCGGGGCTGCGGCCTCCTGAGGGCGCATGAACCACCTCCTTGCTTTAGGGAAAACCTGCCAAGCAAAGCACAGTGGAGGAAGGGCTCTGCCCTCCACTTCCTGCGCCAGCCTGGGAAGACCAAATGACACCCAGCTCACATCTTCCTGCAGCAGAGGGCCATCTGACCTCTAAGCCCTTAATTGCACTCCGTACAGGGCTGAGGCCTGCTGGGAGCCACTATCAGGACAGGGCAAGCTCACAGGAGACCTGGGCCACCAACCCTGCTTCCCTCAGGCACAGTGCCTGCTTCCCTGGTTCGGCTGTCTCCAGGTGTCTTGTGAAGAAGGCACACAGAAGAGCTCACAACACCACTTTGGCCGTGCCACCGAGCTGTGGCCTCCCCAGCCTCAGGGCCTGTATGCAGTCCCTTGTCCCCATGCCTGCCAGCTTCTCTCCTGTGGCCACGCCCAGGGAGCTGGCCCTTGTAGACCACAGCTGGTCTTACACATGCATGATGGCTTCAGTCGCCAGAGGGTATCACACATTTCGGACACACAACCTCTGGCATCTCTGCACTCCCTTACCTACTGCTTGCACTTTCTGCCGCAGTGTGGCCCTTACCTGTCCTGGCTCCTGTCCTGCACCCGACTCATGGAGGACAAGTCTGCGGCTCGGCCTGGTGCCCTTCGCTGGCCTGTAACAAGAGACACTTCATTCTCTGCGTCCTGCCCTGCACCTGCCGAGCCCTCCTGCCTCTCCTCTTTTGACCTCTGACCTTCCTCCTGGCCAAGCAAACCAGCATGGCCATTTGTGGCATCTGAATCCACTGTGTCGTCCTCCACAAGGTCCTGAGAGCCGAGCTCCGGCCCCCGTGATTCCTCTGAGAGCGCCCCCTCCAATTTCCACTCTTGTGTGGCATCAGAGTCCTCGGCCTTGCTGCACTCCAGAGAGGAGTCCTCAGCAGTGACCAGGGAGGGCGTGAGGCCCGCAGACCACACCTGCATGTCAGACATCTCCAGCATGGCGTCATGCTCCGTGGGGGCCAGTGGGATGGCGTCTATGACGGCCACCTCGTTCCAGTACTGGTCTGCACGCAGCGGAGAGGGGAGCGCGTAGTGCAGGGAGGCAGGGGACAGCAGCTCGTCCTGCAGCGAGGAGTAACCTGGATGGGCAGACAGAGGGCGACATGCTCCAGAAGCAAGTTCTATCACACACGCTCACATGCAAGTCCACACGCACGCGCACACACGCACACAGGCACGGCCACAGAAATGCATGCACAGTCGGGCAGGGGCTTTCCAAGCTCTGAGTCCAATACTCAGGCCTTGTGGCTGCTGCCCAGGACACCAGGCAAGAGAAACAAGGCTCTGAGCTGGGTAGGGGCAGCCAGGGCGTGAGGGCGAAGAGGGAGGGGTGCCTTTGCTGGATGGCAAAGAAAAGACATCAGAATGTTTCTTATCCAGCTCGGAGTGCCAGATAAAGAAGGCTTTATCCGGCAGACTTGCACTCTGATCAGTCCAATCAGATGACAGCCCCACTTCTCCATGGGCAGGAGGAAATGTTGCTCTTTCTCTGCTCAAAACTTCGCTTTATCACAGTCTTTAGGGTCCTGTGGGGACTGTACCTTGTGGGAGGAGGACGGCCCACCCCGGACTAGGGTCAGTAACCGGCTGCCCTGGAGGGGTCTAATGGGATACACTGAACAGCCACAGACCTCAGTGCGGTGGTCAAATGGGAAACAGGCTTCTGGTTTGGCAGGAAGTGACTTTTCCTCAAGTTGCATATTGGTTCCAGAAACTGAATGATCTACAGTGGCACAGGTGAGGGTTCTAGGGTTCAAAAACGGGGGCAAGGTCAGAGGGCACAGTGAGACCAGGTGCATCTGCCTGCCGCTCCTCCTCCAAGGCCCTGAGCTCCGCAGCCCCACTCTGAGTTAGCGGCAACATACCGGGTCCAGGCCCCGTGCTCGCTGTGGCCAGCTGGCACACTGTTCCCTGTAGACTGCACAGGTGTGTGCCCCTGCCCACGCTCTGGTGACCCTGCTCCCTGGTACTCTGAATGACCGTGGGCAGGAGGGACTGGAGCGTGGAGTGAATGCTAGTGCTCCATCAGGGGCTCCTCGGTTGGCGCTTAGAGCAGGTGCCAACCGGCGGCCAGGAGGCAGGCTACAAGCAGGGTCTCTCTGCAGCACAGCTGGTCTGGGGGCAGACACATGGCCCCCAAAGGTGGTCACTGGAATGGGACAGGGTGCCCAAAGAGGCTCTTGGTCTGGAGTCAAACTCTTCACCCTACAGGTCACGCCCACCCACAGCAGGAGGCCTCCTCTGGCCCCAGGCTTGATGCCATGCTCTCCGCCCTGGGTCCCTGGAGCGCTTGCTCCCATCACCCCCACCCTGACAACACCATCTCCATTTAGCCTCAGTCACCACCTACTTGCTCACCTAGAAAACTTTCACTGGTGTCCAAGTCCATGGCAGCTCTGTGCCGAAGGGTGGGGATTGCAAACACAAACACAATACACACAGATGCAATCACCTCATCCTCTTTTTGATGCTTTCTAACTACAGCTCACTGCCCACTGCCACACATAACCCTATGCCCCTCACTGGCTGCTTCCCGAAACTGGTCACTCACTGTCCTTGGAGGCTACCATAGAACTCATAGGATTTGTGTGGAGACACAGCAGCCAGGACAGAGGACTTCCCTCTTGAGTGGCCGTCATAGCTGACACCCACAGGGGCACCTAACGTGCCAGGAGACTCCTACCTCCAAGCTGCCCAGCAGCGCATTCTTCCTAACCACCAGCCTTGGGGTAAATGGCTTACTTGTAACGGCCCCCCACTGGCAGCCACCTAAATGCTTATCACAGGGAAACACGCACACACCCTCCGGCACACCCCTGCAGTGGAACACAGCTCAGGACAAATAGGAATCACTGACACACGCAACAGCACGGACGAAGCCCAAATAATCATGCTGAGTGAATGGAGCGGGACAAAAAAGAGCACGGATTCCAATTCTGCTTATGGAAAATTCCTGGGGTGTAGCTGGGGGTCAGCTGCACAGTGGTGGAAGCTAGAAGAAGCCCCTTCCAGCTCCAGTGAAGCGGGGGGGCGGGGGAGAGGGCTGGGTCAGATCTGACCACAAGACTGACTCTGTACCACCAGTGTGATGCTGGACCCTGAGAAAGCAGGAAACCACAGCAACTGCGCCTCCCAATTCCCCCGGCATGGCCTCGGACACAGAGGAGCAGGTAGCATCTCGTGTCTGCCACTGCTGTCTCTTTATTCTTACAAGCATTATTACCCTATCTCCAGCACCTACGTAGCATTCATTTAGTGCAAAATATATCCAACACGTTTTTAACTGTCACAACACTCCTACAAGGGAAGTAAGTTATTCCTCCTTTTTAGATTAGAAAGTAGAAGTTTAACAACTTGTTGAAGGTTACACAGCAAGTGCAAAAGCATTACACAGAAATGTCTATACTAGAGTTGGCCTTTATTTGTGTTAAAAAATAGCCTTACAGAGGCATAGGTGAATACTGTCAGTACACACATTTCAAGTGGATAACTTGGTAGGTCCTGAAACGTGCAACCCATGCAGCAATCACCACAGTGAAGAGAGGGTATCCATCAGCCCCAAAGCCCTCTGCATCTCCTTCTCTGGCCTCTCTCCCTCCCTCTGCCCACCCACCCAAATCACTCCTGCCTGGGTGGTGGCCAACCTGCTCCCTGTCTCTGCATCCTAGCTGGCAGCTCTATGCAGTGGTATTGTGTGGCCAGTAAGGTCCACCTGAGGCCTGAGTACTGCTAACTGGGCAGTGTTTGCCAGTTTGCATTTCCAAAACTTACATGGACACAAACTGCAGTCTGTACTCACTCAGCATGTTCCCTAGGGCTTCTTCCATGCTGCTGGCTGGGTCAATGGCTCATGTTTGTCCTGAGCTGAGCCTGGCAGGTGAATTTGCGGAATCTGTGTATCTATGTACCTGCAGGTGGGCATCTGGGTGCTGCCGGTTTGGGGCTATTATAAATAGAGTTGTTACTTTGCACAGACACGCACTGTCTTCTCTAGGCGTGGACTATATGAGAGGTACGTGTTTAACTTTTTAAGAAAGGATCAAAGTGTATTTTTATTCTAAGTGGTTGTTCCATTTTACATTCCCACAACCACTGCATGAAAAATTCCCGTTCCCTCATATCCTCATTAACAGTTGGTGTAAGTTTTAAGTTTTAGCCTTTCTCATAGGTATGTGATAGTACGTCCTTATAGGTTTAATTTGTATTTGCCCAATGACTAATAACATTGAGCATATTCTTATATCCTTGTGAGCCATATGTATATATTCTGGGTTAAGTGTTCAAATCTTTTGCTCATTCTGAGAACCTGGTTTTCACCTTATTATTGAGTTGCGAGGATTCTTTGCATGTTCTGCATAAACGTTGTACAAGGTGCCAGTGCTGACATTTTCTTCTAGTCTGCAGCTTGTCTTTCAGCAGAAGTTTTTGAAGTTCCATTTATTAATTTATGGGTTGTGCTTTTGGCATTGTATTTAAAAAATCTTTTTCTTATCCAAGTTTTACAAATTTTTTCTCATATTTTCCTTTAGAAGTTTTACAGTGTTAGATTTTACATGTAATCTATGATCTCTATTAAGTTAATTTTTCATATAGTGAAAAGAATGAGTCTAAGTTCATTTTAAACTTTTGCACAAATGTTTTTGAGGGAATATTGATGTGTAGTTTCTTCTATCATATCATTTTTTAATAGGCTGGTATCATATAGTTGGAAAATGTTGCCAAATTTTTAAGTTTCTAAATGAATTATTTCTTCATTAAATATTTGGTAAAATTTACTAGTAAAGAAGCCATGTGGATTTGGACTTTATTCATGGGAACGCTTTGAACTATAATTTTTTTTTATCGGTACCGGGGATCAAACTCACAACCACACGCTTGCAAGGCAGGCGCTTATGCCACTAAGCTAAATCCCCAGCCCCCTTAACTATAAATTTAATTTTTAATTTATATAAGGCTATTCCATTAACCTATTTATTCCTTAGTAAGCTTTGGTAGTTTGTGTCTTTCAATGAATTTGTTAACTTCATTTATGTTCTCAAATTTACTGACATAAAACTGTCGTACTATTCCTTTCTTATCCTACCCCTGGAATCCGGAGTGCTGTCACCTCTTGTGTTCTTGACATTCATCATTTTTGTCTTCTTTCTTCTGATTAGTCTGGTTGCAGGGCATACCAGTTTTAACAATCTTTCAAAGCTGCAGCTTTTGGACTCATTTTCCAGGGTTTTTGTTTCTGTTTATTGATTTCAACTGCAGTTTGCATTATTTCCCTTTTTCTGTTTGCTTTCAGCTTAATTTGTTCTGTCTTCAATGTTTTGGAGGTGGGAGATGAGGCCATTAGTCTGAGAACTTTTTTCCCTTCTAATAGACATTCCGTGCTTTGCATTTTTCCATATTATTTTTATAGCACCCCACAAATTTTGATATATTGTTTTTAATTTCACTCAGTTCCAATTATTTCTGCCTTTGTGCTGATGATGTTCTTTTCTTACCCTTTAAAACATTATTTTGCAGTTGCTAGGGCTGGGTTGGAGGATGCGCACATTACTAGGTCCTCACTCCACCGCAGCCATGTGCCCACTGCTCTTTTCGTGGTTAGAGACGTGGTCTCCTTTAAATCCACTGCCTTTTTACTTCCATTGCTCCCGGTGAGACGTCCACTGCCATCCTTACCGTCAGTCCTTGCACAGAACGCGTCTTTGCCCTGCTTTTCCAGGCCTCTCTTCAGCCTTGGCTCTGGCCAGTCTGCTCACAATGCACTTTGGTGTAGCTGCTAACACGGTGCTCGTGGGATCTGCTGGATCAGTGCATTTATGATTTTCACAGCGGGCCGCTTTCAGCCTTTATTTCTTCAGATACTTTTCCTGTCTTCTCTGTGGGGAACTCTAATTTCATATACATTTGGCCTGTTGAAATTGTACCATAGTCACTGATGCTTTTTAATTTTTCTTTTGTTTCTTTATTTCATTTTGGAGAGTTTCAATTGCTATGCTGTGAAGTTTACCATTTATTTCTGCTGCAATGTTTAATCCCATCCACCAGATTTTTAATCCTACACATCATGGCTTCATCTCTAGAAGATCAATTTAGGTTTTTTAAAATATCTTTCATGTGTCTTCTACTTTTTGAACATGTGAAGTACGGGGTTGACTACCCTTGTCTGCTCATTCTGACACTTGAGTCAGTTCTGAGTTAGTTTCAATCGATACTCTTTCTCTTGTCTGACAGAGTATCTGGGTAATACCCAGCTGAAATTTGCAAAAGTCTCCGGAGTTCTCTGTCTGTGCAGCTGTCTCCTCCACACCCCCTCTGTCTTGGGAAGTCGTGCAGCTTACTCTTCCTGGACTCAGCAACTTCTCAGCAATTTGCCAGAGTTTCCCTGGGAACTTTATGAAGGCAAAACTCTAAGCAACCAGCAGACTCACTTCATTTATTTTCTATGTCTCACAGCCCACTGTCTCTTGCTGCCTGATATCCAATGTCTTGGAAGCTGTCAGACATTCTGTCCTTCTTTAGTTTCTCCATGCAAGAGAGTATATCTAGTCGCTACTACCCTGTTTTGGCCAGAAGTAGCATTTGTCATAAACAGTCCCTCAAATGATGATGATTATTCTGTCATTCCCAGGACTCCTGGCAAAGGCCTGAGAACCAGGAGTGCATGGTTTTTCTTCATTATCCTTTGCAATTTTCCACACTGAACCTTCTGTGGCCCCACTTTCATGGAATTCACCCACATGGAAGTGTGTGGGTGAAGGGAACATAGGCACAGCCTCAGTTTGGAGCCCCATGGTGGCCACCCCACAGCCCCCTCCTGGTGACAGCCTGGATACTCCTTCTCTGTCTCCGGAGGACGCCAGCTGCTCAGTGAGATTTCAGACTAGCTACAGCCCTGGTGCTGCTGGACGTCATGAGGATGCTCGTGGCAGCTCAATGCCTTCTCACCTGGAACATCTCTCATGGTTTGTGGTGGGCCGGACAACAGTGAGAGCACTGAGCACCCAAGCTGAGCGACAGGATGTCTGTCTGGAAAGCCTGAGTGTGGCAGTCGAGCCTCATCTAGGAAGCTAAGCAGGCTCAGGCCTGGTTAATACTTGGACAGGAGAAATGTCTGTCTCCAGGACTCATCCAGCCCTGTCATACTTGGGTCACTGGTGCATTTCTGAGTAGAGAGGCCTCACATTTGGGTCTAGGTGCTGGGGAAATCAGGTAAAAGGCTGGGGGCAGAATACAGCCAGGCCATCCTTTCTTTTCTCACTAAGTATAATTAATCTATTAGCTTAATATCAGCAGCAAACAGAAAGGGTGGACAGGTGGCCTGGCCTCTTTGCTAGTTGTATCCATTAAGTTGTATCCATGCTGATGTAAGTAACACACTTTGTTCCCAACTGGACATTATTGCAACTCATTAGACCAAATGGAGCTGGTAAGGTGTGAGATAACCACTTTCTTCTCCATATATGAAGTCCGTTTCATTTTCCGGATGTGCTATTTTTTGCCTATGAGCAACTTTTCCTTGAAGTCTCTTGCACAGGCCTGAGGTAGCCCCTGTGGAAGATGTGAGAAGCTGCCTGGCCTTTTCGCGAGATCCTTTCGCAGGCCTGCACAGCAAGAAGAATTCTGACACCTCCTGCTCTCGGGACACTAACCATGGATTCCTTCTGAAGGAGACTGCGAGGGGCAGAGAGCGAGGTGAGATGTGGAGGAGCCTGCATGATAGTAATGGTGGCCATGAGTGAACAGAGCCGGCCGTTATCAGGACAAGCCGACATGTGGCCTTGCCCAGGACAGAGCCAGTGACAGTGCTGGGGTCGCTCTATCCCAGCTCTGGCCTTTGAGCCTTCTCCCACCCTTCCTTCCAGAACAGAAGGGCAGCTGGATGGTGGTCAGAAAGACAGAAAAGCGGATTTTGGTGTTAGAGAGTGAAAGGGGAAAGGCTGGGCTTCCATGTGCGAGAATTCAAGGAGAGGTGTCCAAGGGCAGCGAGCCCAGGCAGTAGGAGGCCTGCATGGCAGGGGCTCCACAGGTGACAGCTATCGAAGGGTGTTAGGAAGGACGAGGCACGCAGCCAGTGGCCTCTCGAACCACAGTGCAGAGAGAGGAACCATCAGAAACCTAGATCACATCATCGTTTCACCCAACACCAGTAGACAAAAACCAGCGTCCTGCAACAGGCTCCAGGGCACCTCCCATGCCCTGGGCCTTCTCACCTGCATCTCTGGGCTCCTCTGCTCCTCTGCCCCCATCGTTCTGCCTGTGGAGAAGCGGGTGCGGCGCCCTCCTGCTCCCCGGGACCACTCGTCCCGGCTCACTCCGTCTCCATGTCTTTGTTCGAATGTAGCCACCTCCACCACACTCTTTAAACCCCCTGCACTGCTCGAGCTGACCTCTCGCCCACTGTGTGATCCCCTCATGTAACTTGCCTGGCTCTCCTGATGGGAGGGAAATTCTGCTTTTGCCACACAAGTTGAGCCACTGTGGCAGAGCTTTTCTGCCAGGCACGGAGCACATGGAGACTCAGGCCCCAAGGATCAGAGCCTCCCAGGCTGACAGGGACGAGCTGTGAGCCCCGAGGACACCGTGCCTGCTGAGCTGTGGGGTTCTCATGGCCTGTGATCTCTGCAGGCACTGAGTCCAAAGCCTGTGGGTTAGACCTGACTGAAACAGTACAGGGGATATCCAGAAGCCCGTGTGCCACAGAAAGGGACTGGTGTTTTGTCACTTGGGTGTCCTGAAGTTTGGGGATCTCCCCTGTCTTTTTCCTCTGGGGAAGGGAGCAGCCAGCTCAGGCGGCCTTTGGGGTTGCAATCAGGTCCCCAGGGAAAGGCTGCAGTCTGGGGCGGGAGCCCTTTCCAGTGCACTGAGAGCGAGCTAGCACACAGTCAGCAGCCACGATGGGCGACACAGACAACAGCCGTGCACACTCGCACACACACAGATGCCCATGGAGACAGCAGGGGGTGGGGTGGGCGGGGGAGGATGGTGTGGGGGGTGGGTCCAGGTCCTCCGTGACATGCGTTCATGGAGGGGGACAGCTGTCATACACTGGGTCCCCGTGGAGACAGTGGAGACAGGAAGTGAGGCTGACTGGACGAGAGGCCAGGATGAGGTTAGAGGCAGAAGAGAGGGCCACAGGACACGGTCAACAGAGGAAGGGCCCAGCCCCAGGAGCACTGGGAGGCACAGTCAGGACATACAGGATGCGGAAGAGAACAGGAGGGCGGCCTTGTGCTGGGACACTCGGCCCCCGGCCCTGGCCGGTGCTCTCGGAGCTGAGCAGTGTGCATGCATGGCCGGAATGGCCACCTACGGGGGTGGCGGGCGACCCCACCCCCAGGATGATGGTTTGGGGTGATGATTCTCAGAGCTGGTGCTTTTTAAGCTCTGTAGGGGACCTTGGGGATCTGATTTTAATGATGATGGCTCAGCTACACGGGGTTGGCAGGAAGCCACACTTGCTGAACCATGTGCATGGCTGGGCTGAAATGGGGCCATGGCTCTGCCACCGGCCACACAGGGTGACACGGGGAGGGATGGGCGGCCCAGGCTCTGCTCCTGCACAGCAGTGTTGCTGAGAGGGCTGGGGACACAGTTGGTCACACCAGGGCTCCCTGCTTTGCTGAACCACCGCGGAGTGAGGAGGACAGACAGATGAAAAAGTGGGGGAGAAAGAGAGAGCAAGAGAGTCTGGGCTCAAGAAAACTGTTCAGTCTTTACACGGGGCCACAGTGGGACTCTTTAAACAGCAGCAGCTAATCCCTGAGAAGCTGGGCCTTGTTCCTGACCTTGGAAGTTCTTACACAGAGACACTGGTGTCCAGAGAGGGCACATACTTTGTGAAAAGTACCACGTTTGTCTACAGACTCTAGGGACAAGGGTCTAGCCAGCTGTTTCAGATCACACCAGGCCTCAGGGACCCAGGTGCAGTGGTGCTGGCTGGGAGCTACTCTGCACTGGCCACACCCACACAGCTGGGTCACACCTGTCTCTCTCCATGGCCCCGGCCTTTGCCAGGATGGGGAGCTCCCTGCCAGCCAGCCCAGCCTCCACCCACCTGAGGCAGAGAGGGCCTGGGGATGGAGCCCTGCAGGAAGGGGCCACTGGTGCTGGCTGCGGGGGGAGGCCCTGTCCAACGTCACTGCCGCCCAGGGGACACTCACCATTCATCTGGGAGGGCGACAGCGAGTAGTCCCGGTCTGCCTGCCGCTGCTCCGGCCTCAGGTTGCGGCTCTGTCTGCTGGAGCCCTCCAGCATGTTCACAATCTCGCTCCTGTCGATGTTGCGCAGGGCCGCATACAGGCTTTCCACTGTTGGGAGAAGGGGAGGAGTGAGTGATTCTAGAGCCCCAGGGAGACACAAAGGCCTGAAAATGGGCCAGGGGAGGGAGGCAGCAGGGGTTTCAGAAGGGGGAGCACCCATATGTCACAACCTAACTTGGATGGAGAATTCTTTCTCATGCACAGTGGCCTCTCTCCCCCGCCCCCCGGAGTGCTGGGGTGAAACCCAGGTCTTGCACCAGCAAGAACTCTACACTGAGCTACCTCCCCAAACCCTAGCAGCCAATTTAAAGGCACAAAAAGGCTGGTGGGTCTTTGTTTATAATCTACGAAGAATACTGCAAGGAAAAGCAAGTGAGAATGGGTGCTGTTCTACGGAAATCCCAGGTCCTCGCCAGTTGATTTTACAAATATAAACACTCAACTCCCCCAGTGCTGCTGAGGGCTGGGAGCTGACTGATGAGGCTCTGAAGGGAGTGAGACCAATCTTGCTCCCGGTTGGGAGGTGCTCCTGGGACGAAAGGGGCTGCACAGGCTGGGTTCAGCCTGAGATGACACCAGTGTTGACAGCCTGAGAGGCCAACACTTGTGTGAGCTGGGCACTGTGGGACATGGGAATTTCTATCTTCCTCCAAGGAGGGAGAAAGAATAAGGTCAAGATTGCTGGTCATGATAATGTGTTCTTGGGGGACTGCCTGGAAGGCCTCTAACCCTGAGGGGTGTGTGCGTGTGTGTGTGTGTGTGTGTGTGTGTGTGTGTGTGTGTGTGTGACAGAAAGAGAGAGACAGAGAGAGGGAGAGAAAGAGAGAGAGAGAGACAGAGAGAGAGACAGAGAGAGAGACAGAGAGAGACAGAGAGAGAGAGACAGAGAGAGAGACAGAGAGAGAGACAGAGAGAGACCCCTAGGCCAGCATCACAGCCAGGGTGTGAAGAAAGAAGCAGGACAGCTCTGCCCAGCACCGGTGCTGGCAGGCTGTGGACCGTGGCTTCGTGGGCCAGGAGGTACTGACTCTTTGCATCTGCGCCTTCCCGGGCAGCCCAGAGGTTCAGCAAGGCTGCGCTCTGCTCCCACAAGGAGTTGGGGTTTTCTACCCGGATCCTGTTGATTTCCTCCACACTGAACTGCAGCTCCCGGGCCAATTCTGCAAGCGAAGAGCCAAGAGCAGGGTAAGTGCTGGGGGCAGAGCATGGCCTCCCTTCCCAGGAAGGCTCCATGGGGGTGAGTGCCTGCCTGCGTCTGTGTGTCTGGATGGGGAAGGGCTCAGGGAAATAGGCAGCCATGGGCCAATGAACCCACAGCTGGACGGATGTCCTTGTCCCTTTTCGTGACTTCTAACCTGAGCTAATGAGAACGAACCCTCTCCAAGGCCAGCAGCCTCTCCAAGGCCGAGGGAAGTCAGTTTCTGAGCTGGGAAAGATTGAGTGCTGGGACAGTCATTCCTGGGCCACACTCGGAGGCCACACACTCTCCGCCAGGTGCCCCCAGGGACAGGCCACCAGCAGAGAGCAGGACTAACACAAGGAAATTAGAGGTCCCTCACTACCAAGACTTAGAAGGAAGCCAGCCTCTGAGTGATTTCAAGGAAAGGAAGCCGAAGAGAAAGCAGGTACAAATCAGAACATGGGTGTACAGCACACGACACACATATGCACACATGCACACCGACAGGAACACGCACTGCATCCCCTACTCGAGCATAGCATATACACAGTGACGTGCACACATGACACACACACGCACACAAGTGTATACACACACACCTTGAGAAGTGGGAGGAGACAGGGGTTGAAGCATGGGCAGTCCTTGAAGGTCTGAGTCTCCATGACCTTCCACAAGCTTTTGCTAAGGTTTCTGAGTTTGCCTGTGTAGGTGTGAGAGTGGGGGCAGGGAGTCCATTTGTGTGAAACCTGACGGACAGACAGACAGACAGAGAGCAAGGGAAAGCAAATGAAGCTGCAGAGCCTGCAACTGCCTCTGCAGGTCAGATGTGCCCTGCTGTGGGTTGGGCAAGGCCTGCGCAGAGACAGACTCCATTGATCCCCAAGAAAGGGGTGCCCAGGGCGGGGTGGGGCAAGCAGTGTGCAGGGCGTCTGGGGGCACAGTTCTGCTTGTGTGCTTGTTTTGTTTATCTGTTTGGTTTTTCTGGCTCTGTCACTAGCTGGCTCAGCAATCCAGTCACTCTAATGAGCTGGATCCTAGATCCTGGTTTTCCCATACGCAAAATAAGCAACTACAATTCAGAGGTCCTGGTAACTGCCAAAAACTCTTTCTTCCAGAGGAAGCCAGAGAAACAGAGAAGGGCAGCCATTCTCTTGGCCGCCGGCAGCACAGCTTTGCTATGCGCCCCAGACAATCGTACATCACAATCACTCAGTGGACACCAGAAGGGGTGCTATGTCATGCCCCCCACTCCTCAGGAAAAGCCGTGGGGTCAGTGAAACCAGGGCCTTCCACCTCGCCCTGACTCACCCGCCCAGCTGAGGCCCAGGTGCTCTGTAATGACGGCCACCTTCAGGTCAGCGCGGTCCATCCCGCTGGGGAAGCCTGGGGGTGGAGATCACACTGAGCAGACAACCGGTGTGGGTGTGCTAGGCAGGAGCCAGCTGTGCCTGGCTCTCAGCTCCACACCGGCGGGCAGCGCAGGCAGAGGAGCCGGCACCCGGGAAGCCCTGCAGAGCACAAGACGAGGGCACCACCTAGACCATCACCACATGGGTCCCTACCGAGAGCTGACTCGCTGAGCACGCTGTACCGAAGAGCCAGGGGTGTCAGGGTCCTCCTCCTGTCCTCCGCTCCGGTTCCCTGTGGAGGGAAGGCAAGGACACGGTGCTTTGGGTGTAGGAGTGCCCCTCCTGGGGAAGGTGGCTTGAGAGCTTGTGGCGACACAAGAGACATGAGCCAGTGCTGCTCCCATTTCACCCACCAGGAAACTGAGGCATAGAGCGTTCAAGAAACTTGCCCAAGGTCACCCAGTGACCTCTCTTGGATCCCTTCCTTTTCACCAGCCCCGTTTCGGAGGCTGGCCTGGGACGTCACACCAGGTCGCATTTGCTTGAGGGCTGCAGGAAATGGCTTTTGAGGCAAAAGCTGGTGCCCCCTCATCCTCAGAAAGAAAAGGAGACTTGCACTATAGACATATGAAGGTGACCCTGCTTTTTTTCTGGTCAGCATGGAGGCTGATGATTTGAAAGGACAGCAGCATCGGGACAGCACTGACACCCTGAAGACACCTGCACACCCAGCCTGGTATGGGCACTCAGCATGCTCACAGGCACTGATGCGTGAACACACTTGGCCACGGCTCCTTGCTGAGCTCAGAACCCCAGCTGTCTGCAGTGGCTGAGGACACCACAATTCTCTTCTCTGAGGGCCCAGCGCCCTGGAGAGGAAAAGGGAGTAAATGACAGGAGTTGGGTCACTGTGCTCCTGCAGAGGAGGCCTTGGCCAGCTGGCCCTGTGCCTGGTGTCACATGGCCAAGGGGGACTGAGCTGTGTGGGGCGGGGACTCGGAGCAAGAGACAAAAGGGCGCCTGGACCACGGTCAGCAGGAAGCCTGTGCAGGGCTTGTCCCAGTCTTGGCCTGGGGGTGCCCTGGGCAGCAGCTCACCTTGGTACAGGGGGGCATGGTGACGTTCAGGTGGCAGAGGATGTGCTGGGTGTCCTCATACTTCATGGCTTTGCGCAGGAATGACAAGAACCCTGCCGGCTCCCGACTGCTGTCCCTCACCTAAACGTGGTCAGATGCCAAGGACTCAGTAGAGCAGCCTCTCCACGGCCACCGGGCAGGTCGGCTTACAGGCTCCTCCTCCCTGACTCCCTGGACCCCGAGGGTGCCAGCACCTTCACAGGTATGGCCAAGCGGTTCTCCCGGAAGGACTGGAACTCGAAGCTACGCTGCTGGGCAGCCCTTCTGACAGGGACCAGGTTCCCGGAAAGTTCTGCGAAGAGGGGCATTCCCTCCAAAACCTGGAGGGCAGGAGAGCAGATACACCTGTCATGTGGAACGCCCAGGAGAGGCCCGCTTCAGGCACTGGCTGCCCACCCCTGGCCAAGCCTTGGCCCCAGTGCCCAGCAATCTGGAAAAGGCTCTGCTTTCCAACTCAGATGTGATGCGAGTTTCCAACAAGCAGCCACTTCTTGTGCCCAAGCACAGAGGCTGCTTGCTACCAAGGGTTCCAGAACACCTCAAGGACACTGGACACAGCATTTGTCTTCACATCTGCCAAAGGTGTTTAGCTCAGGAGAAGTGCTACAAAGACCATGGTGTGTTTCAATCCAGTACAGGCTTGGGGTCATAGCCAGGTGCTTCACATGTTCTCACAGGGGTACCCCAGGCCAGCAGTGGGGTCACATCTACTTCCACCATTGTCCCCCAGCATTCCCGCCTCTTCAGCTACCCAACCCCAGCACTGGGCAGCAGGACAGGCTGTGGGGTTGGATGATCGGGAATCATTCCATCTCCACCCTTCACTTCACTGCATGACCTTATGCAAGTTCCCCAGCCTCTGCCTCCCGTCCTCAGCTGCCTGGCACATAAATCAGGGACACTAGCAGTAGCCACAGCTATGAGAATTCATCAAGGCTACGCAATGAAACCACCCCAGTGACTGCCAACTCCCATCATCACCAAAGTCACAGGGCCAGCTGATCATTGTCACCCTGAGACACACAGCGCCGCGTCTCCATGTCTGTGACAGCTGATCCGAGATGGAGACCTGGTCCCGCACCCTGAGCACTTCCTGCCGGGCCTGGCTACCACAACCCCAAGGGCCAGTGGGAGCCCTGCCTCAGCTCTACGGCTGGTTCTGTTCTGTGCAGAGAGAAAGGCCTGCAAGTGTCTGTCCAGGACTGGGTGCCGCACCTCTATGTCCCTGCTCCGGGCCACCTCCACGAAGTTTTCGTGCTGCTCCAGCGTCTTGTCCACCTTGTCATCCGTCATGCAGTAGCACCGCAGCCGCCCTTCCCGGGGGTCATTCATCTTGGCGAAAATGACAAACTTGGCCATGTAGGGCACTGCGGTCAGCTCTTTGTACAGCAGAGTGGCAAAATTCACAGCCTCTGCTGTCCGTGGACAGTCCGATAGCCAAAACCTAGAGGGCAGGGATGGAGAGTCCGGGCCATATGGTCAGAGTGCCCTGGGAGCCACACAATGGCCGGGGCAGAGGAGGAGCTGGAGCCCGGTGCAGGCCAGGGCCCAGCAGGGAATGCCGGTGGCAGCACTGAGCACCTGCCGTGCCATGCCATGCCTCCACTCACCTGGCGGAGACGTTGGTGGTGAAGTTGGCGCACTCATTGGCATATACAAGCTTGGTTGTTCCCGTGATATCTTCCCATTGGGCTTGGTCAGTTCCTCCTGCAATAGCAGCAGAAGTGGGGCTGGGCACATTCTTGAGGCATAAGCATGGCACCCAGGGCCCAGCACTCAAAGGCAGAGGTGGCACAGCAGGTGAGGCGTGGTGTGCAGCCCCCCTCTTCCTAGCGACCTGCCATGCTATTCTCGGGTATAGCAGGCCCTTCCTGACTCCTGCTCAGAGAAGCCGCCACTGTCTCCCCAGAGCCAGCAAAGCCCAAGCAGTTACTGGCTTTGCTCCCTCCTGTTTCTCCAGAACGAGCGGCTGCTGCAGAGAAAGAGATACGGCCAGGGACGCCTCTTACCAATGACGCTGCAGAGCAGGCGCAGGCTGGTGGTGTCTCCCTCCCCGCTGTCCCGTGGGTTGTCTGTCCATGAAGGAGGCAGCGGGATGCGAAGGCCAATGGGACGGTGGAACTTCCGGCGCCGTGGCTCCACAGTGACAATGGGGCTGAAGGTGGCTTGGTTGCCCAGGAGTTTGGTGACCAGCTCATCTGGGACAGGCTGGGCCTGTGTGGGAGAGTAGGGACTGGTGAGACAGGTGCCCCCAGCAGGGCAAAGACTCAGGGCAGAAGACTAGGCTGCCATGTCTTCCGTGCCAGTGAGGCCCTCAGGCTGAAACCACAGCTCAGCTCCCCGCCTCCCTCCTCACTCAGCAGTCCTCCCGCCTCAGACTGGGGGTGCGGCTTCAGACTCAGACAGGAGGCTGTCCTCTCCTTCTCACCCTTCCCTGACCATCTCTGCCCCTCGCACGTCCTGTCCTGTGAATTCTAAGGCCCTTGCAGAAATGAGGGCATCCTGGGGCACTAGCAGGGCAGGGGCTGTCACCTGCAGAGCCAGCTTCACTTTCTTGGTGACAGCATTTTCAGGGAACGTGGCTTGCACCAGCGGCACCAGCCTGCTCTTCAGAGAGCCGCCCTCGGGCCCAATGGTGTCAAAGTCCTGGCAGAGCCGTGACATGATCACGAAGTACAGGGGGAAGTCGGTGGTGATGATGCGACAGACCCTTTTCTTCTCCAGCTCCTCCAGGCTCCCCAGCTCTGGAAGCAAGCGGCAGGGCGGCCTACACCATCACACGGAGCTTGGGCCCAGCCCTTACCTTCTGGAAGCTGGCCAGAGGCTCAGTCTGTGAGCGCCCCCCCCCGCCCCCCGTGCTCTGCAGCCCGGGCTGGCAAGAGCCCCATTCCCCACAGGCTCACCCTCGTCCAGCCCGCTGAGGATCTGGTCCAGGGAGCTCTCTCCATAGCGGCTCCTGTGCTCCTTCCACACTGAGCCATTCTCGCTCCTCAGCACCACAAGCTCGCGATCCCCTCGGCCTTGCGAGGCAAAATGTGGGATCTCCACGATCACGGGGCTGCATCGGGGGACACAGGGTGGGAGTAGCTCCCCATGTGGCAGCCCCAAGCCCTTGTGCCCACCCTGAGGGATGGGAAGAGCAGGTGGGGCCTCTGTGCCCACCACCCTGGGATGCGGCTGAGACCAAGCCTGACACCTGACAGGATGGGGGAGCTGAGCTCTGGGATTTCGTCCCTCATCCTCCACGCAGCCGTCATGGCATTTCCTCTGCAGCAGGCTTTGAGGTCACAGTGAGAGAGGAAAGGGGCATGCAAGTGACAGTGTGGTGAGTGGGGAGAGGAAACGGGGTGGGACAGGAGATGGGGTAGCACCTAAAAGGCGACAAAGCTCCAAGAGACCTCACTGGCTTCAATGGCAAGAAACATTCATTTGCATGTGGTCCTTAGAGCAAAGTCACCGGGCCACCTTCCAGAGTGACTTCTTCGGCATTCACATAACAAAACCCCAGGTACCCCAAAGCAGCCCCAGTCTTTGGTAGCGTGCCCAAAAAGTAAAACAAACCTTATTTTGGGGCAGTACTGGGGCTTGAACCCAGGGCCTTTGCACTGAGCCACATCTCTAGCCTTTATTTTCGTTCTGAGACAGGATCTTTAAGTGTTAAAGCTGTGATTTGAACTTGCACTCCTCCTGCCTCAGCCTCCCAGACACTGGGATTACCCAACAAGACTTGGGAGTAGCAAGCTTTGCCCAGGATGGCCTCCTCGGTGTACTGAAGAAAAGGCAGGGTGTTTAGGGTGAGGCTCTAGGACAGCAGAGAAATGAGCTGGGCCAGCCGTGCCCTGGACCACGCTGCGTGTGTGGACTGGGACCACGTGTGTCCCCAGAGTGCCCCTCACCTCAGGAACTGGGCCCCCGCAGGCCCCAGTGCAATGATCCTGCTGGCCAGACCCTCCTCCTCAGCCAGTGGGGGCGGCGTGCCCAGCTTCTGGGGCTTCACCAGGCGGCAGGTGATGCGTGTGGGCGCCGCGCAGGTCCGCGGTGGGATCACCACCCTCAGGCCGTTGTGGCGACTCCCTCGCATGGAGCCACCCCGGGCATCCACCATGAAGCTGACCAAAAACCTGGAAGCAGCGAACCATATTGGGCACCACACACACCTCGCCAGGGCCCAGGAGGGTGGTCCCAGCCCAGCCACTCACCCCGTGTGCACAGGGCTGGCCACCGGGCTGATGTTGTCAGAGGTCTCTGTGGCAGGGCTGCTGGGGATAAGCGAGTCCTCGTCGTACTCCTTGGAGGCCTGGGGAGGAGAGCGAGGCCTCTGGGCTCCATCTTGCCTCCCCGGGCACCGAACACCGCGCCAGGCTGTGGGCCCTCTGGGGCCAAGGCGCTCCGGGCCAAAAAGCAGGCAGCCCTTCAGTGCCCACGGCCTTTGTGACAACAGACATGCACAAGCTGGGCACAGACAGGGGAGCCCTCACTCTCGCTGGCACCGGCTGCCCTGCCTGCTGCCTGCCTGCCCTCTGCTAGAAGCCCAGGATTCCCCCTCCAAAGTTGGCCTGGCTCCGGCACCCTGGCCCCCACTCTGTGGAACTCCGAGGTCCCTGCATGTGCTCACAGGACCTGTTTGGCCTGTCTCATCCTCCAGAGAAGGGGTGCCCTTCCCTCTCAGTGACAGTGCAGGCGTGGCTCTGGTCGGCTCCCCTCCCGGGGGCTGGGCAGGGCACGCTGGCCTCCCCAGCTTCCTTCCCTCTGCTGAGTGCAGGCTCTCTCCGGGGGCAGGCTTTCTCAGCACACAGGATCCAGCATCTCACTACCTATCCCTCCTGCGTCTGCGTGGCCTGGTGTGCCTGAGGCCTTCTCCTGGCTGGCCAGCAGCTCCAGGAAGCAAAAGCTCCTGTCCTCCTACCTCGAACTCTACGCAGGGCACCTAGCAGGAGCCCAGGAAGTAACCGCTGATTTGAACCAAGGACTGAAACCAAGAGGGGAGGGAGGCAGGAGCAGCCTGCGGGAGCAACACAAACTTATTGTGTGCAAGCTTCTAGGTTCAGTCTCCAGCACCAAGAAGAAAACACAGACAGGGGAGAATGGGCTGGCGGGGAACAGCAGAGCTCAGTCTGCTCCCCGCTCCTAGGACTCTTGCTGCTATTTCTGCCAGCACCTAGGAACATGCCATGGCCTACAAGGTACACCCAGTGATACCAGCATCATCACCATGGCCCACCCCAGCCGGGACAGTCCTTGCTCCACACCTGGTCTGGGCTCAGGCTGCTGCTTCTGGGCGTGTGCACCTCAGAACTGAGCCTCAGCTGGCAAAGAGCTGGCCAGCCGCAGCTACCACATGTAGGGTGGCAGTGCCAACCACTCCTGGCACCACTGCACAGTGCTGTGTCCCCAGGAAATCCCCTTGCTTGGAAAAAAGTGCCAATGACTTGGGAAATTCGGCTGTGTGAACTGTTCCCACTCCTTACCTGCTTTTCTGTACAAACAGATGGCTCTGAGGACACAAAACAGGGACCCCTTTCTGTCCCGTTCCCAGGGGGAAGGTGAGAGAGCTGTCCCCATTCGTGGACACCTCGCTCCACGGGGAAGCTCCACTAGAAGTAACACCTGTGGAGGGGATGTCAAGGGGACGGGCCCCTCTTACCTGTTCCGGTTCCTCCGACCTGATCAACACTGTCTCGGGAGTCACACAAGGGATCCTCGGAATGGCAGGAGATTCCACCCTGCACCCCAGAAGCGTGGAAAGTCAGGGGGCTGCACTGCGAAGAAACCCATCTCTCCCAAGAGGCCAAGGTGGGCGGCCTCTCTGTGCTGCCCTGCTCACGCCTTAACCCACTTCACACAGGACCCTGCTGTGCAGGCTAAGGGCCACCTCCTCCTCCAGCTCCCCTTTCCCGGCCTGCCCTTTGCCCCTGTGCTGAAGCCACAGCCAGGTCGATGGAGTTCTGGCTTTGGTCTTGATGATGCACTCCTCTATGACCACTTGGTCTGACTGGGTGTTTTTGTGTTTTGTTTTTTTCTGGTATCAGTAATGACTCAGGACCTTTGCACTGAGTTACATTATCCCCTACCTTTTTTAAGGCAGGGTTTTGCTAAGTCACTACATTGCCACGATGGACTGGAACTTGCCTTCCTCTGGACTCAGCCTCCCAAGTGGCGTCCATACCAGCTTTGGTATGTGCTCTGTTTTGCTTGTGGTACTGGCTCTTTACACTGAGCTACGGAGAACTTGTGCTGCCTCAGCCTCCCAGAGTGGGTTTTGGGGTGGGTTTTGATCCCACCAAATGCATCTGCAACATCTGTCTTCACGGCCAGGGTCTGAGTGCAGTAGACGTGGCTCTGAGCAAGCCAGCAGATCTGTCTGTGTTTGCGGGACACTCGGAGGGCTAAGTGCTTATACACAGTGGTCAGGCCGGGGCTCCTTCGAAATCAACCCTAGCAAAGTCCTCGGTGCAGCGGAACTCACAGGGTTAGGAGGTGGGTGGGTGGGAGCAGGCTCTGGGGTTCACACCCCAGGAAGAGGGATGGCTGGGAGTGATGCTGGCCTGGCAGTCTTCTAACATGAACCTTCCCCAGGGACTATTCTGGACAGTTTGTGAGGTGAGGGGTTTCGGATGGAGGCTGTGAGCCAGAGGGAGAGTGCAGGCGTACGGGGTGCCAGGATAGAGGAGACCTACTACCAGCTCACGTGATGTGGCCCCTGTGCATGACAGGCAAGGAGGTGCAAGCCAGCTGACCCTCATGTGATAGGCACAGTCCACCTGCCCATTGCTGGAGCACACTCAGGACCGGGCCGCATTGTGACCCCTCCCCAACTCACCACCCCACTTTGAGTTCCAGCACTGCACCTCGGCCCCCACAGTGTGAGCCCTCCAGCGAGCCCAGAGTACTTACACCTGGTCTAGCTTTGGCACAAAGTCCAACAGCTCCCTCTCCTCATCCACATCTCTGGAATCTAGCTGCTCAGCCTTAGAACCTACAAACTCTTCCCCTGGAACGACATGAAGCCGAGTAAGCGAGTGCCTGGAAATGGATGACCACATTTTCCTTCTGAGCCTGGGACGCTCCAGGGCCTGGACTCAAGTGCTCTGCCCTGTCCTGGTCCCCAGACTGGAAGCTCAAAGCAGGCCAGCTAGCTCCTAACCTCCCTGTCTGCACCTGGCTTTGGAGGTAGGCCAACAGCACAGGCAGAAAGAACTCTCTTACCCAGACAAGTTCCCACTGCCAAACAGCCCTCTGGGGTGTGCAGTGACACCAGGAAAGAGCTGTTACTGTGCCCTGCACCACCACAGAACAAGTAACTACACTGCACTGAACCCACCCCTCCAGAGGCTGGAAGGTTTTTTTGTAACTGTGGTTGCTGAAACCTCATTATTTCCATGATTATTTCAGTTACCTCGCAACTCTACATTATGGAATTATCATCCATAATTCCAAAGCTTATTGTGAAGAGATTCCACTGCAGTGGGTCAGCTGCCTGCGCCCAGGCAAGCTCTGGTTTCTCTCCTTGCCTGACCTGGGCTTGTAGCCTGGCCCTGGCCCTCACCCTTTATGAACGAGCCCCAGCAGAAACACCCGGCTGTGGGCTCTGGAGCCAACAGATGCAATCACAACAGCTCATGCAATGACCATAAACACGGGGGCATGGGCACAGACACACATGGGCCGGCACACACTGGCGCTGGGTGGGGCACATGGTGAGGGTATCCTGATTTAGCCAAGCTCCTGGCTCTGCTGTGAGCCGCTGGAGGATGGAGAGCAGCAATGGGTTAGTGAGAACTTGGGGTTTTGGGGGTGCACTCTGGTGAGAAAGACCACAGGGAACAGAGAGCGTATCATACCCAGTATAGTTATGTGAGCGGTTCCTAGGAAGCAAAGGAGAGCCAAGTTGAAAGAAGGATAGCACTGAAGTCAGGTAAAGTGAGAGGCACATTAACAAGGGACAAGAAAGCTCCACACATCCACCTGACTGGGTCCCACGACCTCCGATCTCCGAATTACAGACAGGAGGCGCTGCGCAGCCCGAACCACTGCTCCGAACTCAGGCCCCCTCCAGCTCAAGGGGTGGAAGGGTGTATTGGGGGAAGGGAGGGCACTCCGAAGTTCCCTAAGCTGACGCTGCTGCAACTTCGTAATAATGGAGGGATCCCCAAATCTACCAACCCACCCAGCAGTCAGGGGCAGCTTCTTAAAATGCATTCTCCTTGACTGTAAATCACCCACTTCAACTCACTCAGGGCACTAGGGAAGCATGAAGCTGAACATCATTGCAGCTTCAATCTGAGTCACTCCCACTCCCCCGGGGTACCCACCGACCCCCACCATGAGGGCTTGTGAGAGAGTTTAAACTTCCATCCCTCCAATGCCAATTTTCCTGCACCTATGATTATACAAAGTTTTCTGATAGTGGGCCACATCTGCAAAAAGCACCCTACACACACACCAGAACCCGAGTGTGCCTGCCACGAGGGGCTTGGTGTGTGGCCGTGCAAGGGGCAGGACTCGGGACGCTTGGGGTCCCTGGTCCCTGTGAGCTCGGCACTCCACACTTCACCTTCATCCTCAGAGACATCCAGCACCTCGTCCACTGTCTCGGGGTAGCTCATCCGGTGCTTGTCACCAACTAACTAGAAAAAGAAAAACAAATACCTCAGTCCAAACAGAGGAGGGTATCCTTTCTCCATCCAGCAAACACTGCTGGCCCCAAGGCAAGAGGGAGGAGAACCAGACCGCTGGGGATCCCTGCAGGCACCCCAGGGAGACACTGGGATCCCACTGTGCGGCTGCTCCCAAAGGCCACTAGGTGGCAGCACAGTCTGCCTGAATCAGGTTGGCCTGCTGCCCTCGGGGTGGGTGCTTTCTGCGGGGCAGAGGATGTGGCCTCCCAGAATCATGCAAAGGCTGGAGGTCAGGCTGGGATAGGGGTGCAGGAGAAGGCAAACGTACCACTATGCTGGTTTCATCCGTGACAACTTTGAGCACGTCTGTCACAGAAATGTAGCCCAAGCGCTTGGCGATTGCCAGAGGTGTGGTTCCGTTCTAGGACAGAGAGCAGAGGAGCACGGTCAGACACACAGGAGCAGGGAGGGGTAGGGAGCCCTGGAGGTGGACCAGTTCCCTCTGGTGGTGTAGAAGGCCCAAAGGACAGAGCTGCCTGTGGCCAAGAGCAGGCTGCTGTGAGCACATGTGCCTCCGAGCCCAATAGGGAGGAGGAGGGGGTGGGGGTGTTGGGTGTGGGCCTTGACCACTTCCCTCGAGGGAGCCCTGGAGGGGTTGGGGAGCCACCATGGGGCCACAGGATGAGGACGATGCAGGGTGACACTGCCAATGCACAGGCAGAGCTAGACCTTGAGGAGCAACATGGGCCAGTATATTTAGAGAGCACCAGAAACACAGCAGGGTACCCTGCAGCTTGGATTTTAAGAGGCAGAGCTGCATGAGAATGAAGCGACGGTGAGGTCTCCATTTCTTCGAGGACATGGCCTGGGTCCATGCCTACTCAGCCCTGCCCACGTTACCCCTGCACCCACACCACCATGTGCCTCAGAGCTACAGTGGCTACAGGGATGGTCTAATCACACCCCGAGTGTGGAGAGGAGGAGCTGCATCCTCAGCCATGACCACTAAGGTTGCTAGTGAGGGCACCAGGCCCTGGAAGTGGGGACCCCAGGACACTTCATGGTGTCCACACATGCTTCACCTACATCTGCTTCTTCCATGTGAAACAAGAGTGTCAAGAATTAAGATCACGAAGGGGAAAGGAAGTGCTGCTCACAAGGCCAACCTTAGTCACCAGAAAGCAACCAGCCACACACCTGTCCTCTGGGGCCCCCGGAGGGTGTGCTATCGTGGCCCTCAGAGCTCAGCACCAGCCACTACTCACCGAGCTGACCTCATTTGGGGAGGCACCACTTCGCAGCAGCAGTGTCACGATGTCTGTGTGCCCCTGCTGGGCCGCCTGGTGTAAGGGGCTGTACCCAAGCTGCAAAGCAAGCCGGTGAGGGCAGTGCAGCCAGCTGCCATAGAAATGCCCGCCTGCCTCTGCAGCCCACTTGTGCCCTGCATGGGACTAAAGACGTGTGTTTCCCAGGTTCCTCCTCCAGGGCCAACGCTCAAAGCTGAGGCTGAGCCTAGAGTGTGCTGAGAGCAACTTGGGTGCACCCACTGGGCCCTCGAGAAGTGTCGGGGTAGCACCTGTACCTTGGTCTTGGCATTGACGTTGGCCTGGTGCTGCAGCAGGAATTTCACCAGTTTGATGTTTCCATAGTGGCTGGCCACGTGGAGCGGAGTGTAACCCATCTGAAATGTGGGAGACGCACAGGCAGACTGAGGCCATGGTAACACCCTACAGCCCTGGGGCACTGGTTTAAGGAGAGGGTGACAGCTGCTGTAAGCTGTGCCACTGTCATTCATCAGCTCCCACTGTCTTGGGAAGGGGAGGACTCCATGCCAGGGAGATGGGGATCTGAGCAGGGGCGGGGGAAGGGGGCTGGGGCTGGGGACAAGAGCAACATCCAAGGGAGCTGGCACTGAGTGTGGAGGCGTGGGCACGAGCAGCACGGAATCCCAGGGCCTCCTTCAAGGAGGCCACACAGAGCCGAAGGGAACCCTGACACGCACCATCATCCAGGAAGGAGAAAGCCCAAGGAACTCATGGGAAGTGGGCTCTGCTTGAAACATGTGGGCTGTGGTTAGCTATTCATGTGGGTTTGGGCTGTCAAGTGACTAGGCACCCTGTTGAGAGTTTTGGTTTGTTCTTGTGTTTTGGTGCTGATGATGGAACCCAAGGCTTGTGCAGGCTGGGTGGGCACTCTGCCCCTGAGCCACATGTCAGTTCCTGTGGAATAAGTGAGGGGTGCCCCCAAAGGCCTTTCAAGATCTTTGGTCCCATGCCCAGGGGAATGAGTGACAAATCCCAGGCCCTGAGGACAGGACTACACCCTCCATAATGTGATGGCTGTGGGGTCCTCTAGGCAGCCTTAACCCACAGAACAGGGCTTCTCAGAACATGACCTCAGAGGGCTAACTTGGGCCCCCAAGAGAAACCCTAAGGATCTAGAACATTCTCAGCTTTTAAACAGGCTATCACAGAAGCTTCAGGCAGCTGGAGATTAAAATGCAGGTTCTAGACTTTTCCCAGAGTACCTTCAGCATGGCAGGCTGCCTGCTGCCCAGCGTCCAGTGAGCAGCTATGGACGGGAAGGGGTGGGGCTGGGCAGTGTCACCCAGATGCCTTGTGACAAAAGGAGCACAATGCACATGTACAAAGCTCTTCTCTCTTCTGAAAAGATCACCTCTTCCCTCTGGGGTTCTGGCTCCTCCCCATGCCTCAAGGCCACCTCCACCTGAGCTGCAAATGCTCAGCCAGGTATGCGTCCCATGTACATGGAACATGTGGTCACCTCAAACTGCCTTCCAGGGCTCCTGCATGTGGAAGAGGTGCAGAAACGGAGGAGCCCACTGTCCTCAGGAAAAAGCCCCACTTCTGAGTGACTCCTGGGAAGCCTGGCATGTGGACACACTTCCTGCTCACATAGGACAGGCTCAGTATAAGCACTCCTCTCAGATTCTTGCTTCAGAGGCTCAAGGGCCCAGCACACTTTCTAAAATTCTCAAATGGAAGTGACTGATATCTTCAAGGGTCGATATCTTCAAGCTCCGCTGCACACCAGGAAAGGTGGCAGGCAAGCTCTGCCTGCTTCTCAGGGCTCGCTCAGCAAAAAGGCAGCTCTGGCAGTGAGGGAGTTGGCCCGGCACTGACACCAAGATGAGCAGGCGGGGGCGGGCTCTGTGGGACAGAGGAGGCTGCCAGGCTTACCCGGGTGGTGGCGTCCACCATGACCCCATGTTTGATCAGCACATCCGCCACTGGAACATGCCCTTCTTGTGCTACCAGATGGAGGGGCGTGAGTCCACTCTGAAGAGAAAAAGCCATGCATCAGCTTTGAACCAGGAGAGGGTTTGCACCAGCACTCAGGGGAGCCTGTGGTTTGGGAAACCAACCTGGCTTGGTAGCCACTGACCTGCCTTTGACCAACTATCTGGTAAAACTCTGGTTGTTCTGGCCCTTAACTCCTTTGCCTAAAAAATGAGGTGGCTAAGCCAGATGAGGATTGACAGTGCTTTCTGATCACAGCTGCACCATCAAGAACTTAGACCCATGGCTTTGCAGCAAGCATGCACTGCTGCCAGCTGTGGTGATGAGCTCTGGCCTTAGGCAACAAGCGGGCATGACTGTGCTCCAAAGCAGCTTTACTACATAGACAGGAAGAGGACAGCGATGGGCCACAGGTCACAGAGGAATGCTATGGTGGAGTCCAATGAAACATTACCTATATCCCTGCTAGACTTTAGACTTGGGTTCCTCACTGAGAATACAGGGATTGCCCTTGCCTGAGTCTCAGGGCAGAGGAGGAGCAGCTGAGGAAGCATGGTCTGTGCGAGGTCCTTTGGAAGACCGTGATGGGCTGTGCATCATCACAGCTGGCTCAGTGCTGTGCAGAGGGCACAGTGCTCAGGGAGTGAAAAGCCCACACCGCATACTCATCAGCTCAGCTTCTCGTGGGGATGGCATCAGAGGTCTGGCTCGCCGTGTGGCATGTATACAAAAATGTCAGAAGCCTTCCCTCCCCCTCCTACCTCTGAGCCCTTTGCAGACAGCAGGACAGATTCCCACTTCCTTGCCAGCCCAGGCAGCAGGCCTACCACAGGGATTGTTCTTCCCTCCACTGCCTCCTGCACTTCCCCAAGGCTGCCCAGGGCCACAGGGCAGTGCCCTCAGCACTGACATCACATGTCAGCATCAGCCTTTTAGGCAGGCACCTCGCATGACTCAAGGTCACCCCAAGAATCTTCTTGAGGGGGGCACGTGGGTGAGGGCATATTTCTGGAAGAGCCCCACCACCATTCCAGATCCCTTGTAAGCCCAAAAAGTGAAACCAAAGACATGCAAGACAATGGTCCACAGTAACAGCTCTGCCTGGGTAGTCCAGTCTTGGTGTGTATGGAGAGGACCACTGAGTTCAGAGGGCTTTTGGGAAGTCCAAAGTTACCATCTCTCACAAATTGTTATGTCAATTTACCATGTGACGGGTTCATTTTATTGTGCAAATCCATGCATGTAAAACACCCCGGGCAGGCAGAGGTAAGGGTGGGACTTTGCAGGGAAGGGGCTGGGCTTGCTGCTAGGGTTGCAAAAGCATCTACAGGGTAGGGATGATTGGCCAGGGCTGGATGTATGCTAAAAAGCTTCAGTTGTATAGTTTAAGGGGCGAACTGTTTGTGAAACATTTCACTAAGACAGTTATTTTAAAAAGAAAGCATACCAAACTATTTAAAACTTTCCTGAAGCAGATACCAGGATACATTTTGGGAAGTGAACTCTGGATTCTCATACTGACCTCAGAACCATGACCTCCCTGCATGGTTCTGTTTAGAAAGACGAGAACCAGCGAAGCCTTTGGGTACTGCAGCTTTGGGAGCAGGCAACCCCGGACTGCTGTCTACGGAACTGAGCTAACACTGAGCTAGAGCTATTGTAAGGCACACACATGCATGCACAGACACACACACACACACACACCACTGAACTCACATTGGAGCGCACAGTAGGTACACAGCACACACTGTGGCTCCTAGTGAACGGGCACTGGGCATTGCCAAGACGGGGAGCACGAGGAGCTCTGCGCCCACCTTGTTCCCCAGGTTGCCATTGGCTTGCTTCGAGAGGAGCAGCGCCACCATGTCCGCGTGGCCCTCTTGCGCCGCCAGGTGGAGGGGAGTCACGCCCTGCACCGACTCTGCATTCGCAGAGCCCCCGTACTGCAGCAGACTGTGGGCCACGTCCATCTGGTTCTGCTTGGCAGCAATGTGTAGGGGCGTGTAGCCATTCTGAAAGGGAAGAAAACCCAGCTTGGGCACAAGAGTGCCAGGAGCACCTGAGGGAGGGCTCGGAGCCACCATGGGGCAGGGCTGGTGTCCTCCAGGATCCTCACTAAGCCAAGAGACCACCAGGGGATCTGGAGGCAGGTGCCCACATGCTTCTTGGCAGCCTGTTTTCAGGTCTCTGCTGGGACATGTGCTGGGCACAGAAAGCTAGGGTTCCACAGGCAGCCTAGCAACAGCTCCAAGGGGAAGAGGAAAGGAAGTAAAAGGTTCCCGCTTCTCTTTCCTGCCGTAAGAATCCAACATTTCAGAAAAGAAAAGAGGACACAGCCTTTTATCTTACCCGTGCAGCTGGCACCAGGCAGGGGAGGTCTCGAGAGCACATTGGAGCCAGGTTAGGTTCCTTTCCTAACTAAAGGTGTGATCCAGGGCACAGCAGTCCACCACGTAGACTGTTCCCTTTGTATTTTTCAGCCATTATGAGTGCATAATAACATCTACCTCCATTTCTTAAAATTGTTGCACGTTTCAAATATGATAATATAAAAGAAGGCACTTCCCAAATTAAGATATTGAAGCACCGAATCACACCTTTGCATTACCGTGGTTCACAAACAGCATGAATCCTGAGCTGACAGAAGCACTTGGCCCTGGACGTCAGCTGAGGCTCAGACACTGCACTGTCTGTTCAGCTGAGAGTTTTGGTAGTGAAACTTGTTCTCTGACGGAAGCTGCCTGGCTTTTTGTCTGGAGAAAGCTCCCCGCCCCCAGACAGCTAGGTCCACAGAGAGGCTGCACTGGTCATTGACGTGAGGCCCGAGGTCCCTCAGAATGTTTCAAGCTCCCCACAACCACACAAGGCAAGGCCAGAGTGTTTATTCCTGCCCTGTGCCACGAGATGCCTGAGCTATTGTCTCATGGTGGGGAACGACAGCCGGGTCGAGCTGAGCCCAGAGCCTGGCTTCTTAGGCAGCAGTGTGTGTGTGATTCCCGGGTGAGTTTGCTCAGATTCGGATTCTTACTCATCAGGACTGAAGAGGACTCAGATCTCAAGCTTCCAGCAGTGAGGCCCAGTGAGACATGGCTAGAGGTGACCAGCCTGGCCAGCAGCCCTCCACTGTCCCATAGGGTGGGTTCCCCCCCTCCACTCCCAGTCCCATTTCCCTGTGGTGACCACCATTCCTGGCTCTGCCAGGACTCCTGGCCAGGAAAAAGGCAGGGCAGGGAGAGGAAGGAAGGGGTTTTACCAATACCATCCAACACGGGATGCCACAGAAAAGACAACAAGCCCTATAAAGTGACTTTTATGGGGAAATTAAAAAGTGGCACCTTACACCCCAAATCAAATTGAATGAAAAAATTTTCTGTGCAGAATTTCTCCTCCCTAACTGGATTATGTTATGAAAATGCATGACATTCTTTGGGGGTCATGTTCAAATGACAACATTGGCATTTGAACATTAATTAAGCAAAATGATTTTTGTGCTGTATCAAAAGAGAGTAAGGAAAGGAGACATGGTGCAAGGGCCAAGCCTGAGACAAAGAGCCGCTTGCGAGGGCAGACCTCACACTCCGAGAGGAGCAGTCCGTGCGGCCACGGATGCCATGGGCACAGGAGTCCCCAGCACTCAGGGAGCTGTGGGCATTGGTGCCCGCAGAATAGCACCATCCTGGCAGGGGCTCCAGATGCCAGGTCACTTCAGGTCTCAGCCAAGGAATGAGAGCACTGGCAGACTCAGGTCAAGACCTGTGCCTGTCCACTTCCTCCAGAGCAGGACTAAGGGAATGATGACCTTGGTAGGGGACAAAGACAAGGGCACAGTGGCCACAGGTCAGGGAGGGACACGTGCCTGTCTGAGGCTCCCCTTTCCCAGGAAATGAGCTCATCGGAAGGAATGCAGGCGCAGGAGGGCTCTGCCTAATCAGTACAGCACCAGCATCAAACTAGGAAGGGGAGGGTTTGGTTTGGGTGTGCAGGGATTTGCATGTGAAATTCTACAAAATTGCCAGACTACTTTGGGAACTATTTTTTGCCATGGAAACAAAAGCCATCTGTACAGGGTTTGTGCTTCTATTTAGCTCTCTTTAAATATCATGGACCTGGCTCTGGTTCCTTTCATATAAGTAGGCGAGTGAGGAGGAGGAGGAGGGGAGCCTGGCTTTTTATTTTTAGAAACAGGAGTAAGTCAGCATCTTAGCAGGGCCACATGGTCTCCCTGTGCAGTGACAGGAGCAGAGACAGAAGCCCCAGAGCCCGGGGGAGGATGCTGTGAGGCCGAGGTGAGCATTGTGCTGAGTAGGGAACACAAACAGAAATGTAGCTTGGGTCCCCCCCACAAGGATGCGGGCTTCAGCCAGAGTCCCAGAGGGGCCCTCATCCCTTGGCCCCTCCTCTGCCGCTCCCGCCCAGCCCTGTCCCCTGCTCAGGCCACCACCCCATAGTGCCTCATACTACAGACATGAACCCCACATAGCCCTCACTGCTCTCCCATGGTCGGGGAGGCAGCCTGCTTCCCAAATGCTTCTTCCATGTGCTGGCTCCATGCGCCTCTTACTCCCGACCCCAACCTGTCCTCTGCAAGAGGCCACTGTGCTGGACACTGGTCTGCAGTGGAAGAGGTCCAGGCAGGTGCCTCTCATTAATGGAAAGCCCGGTCTCTGTGTCAGTCCACTCATGCTGAGAAGGGGCCCCTTACCTCCCCAAACCCCTGCTCCCTGATGCTCCTCCAGGGATTTTCAGGGCTCCAGTTCAGTCACCCCAGGGAGGTGCAAGGCAGGATGCCCACAGCTACCCACCCCATCCCCACTAGGACTTCTGGCTCAGGAGACTCTTAAGCACAATGACTGGTGACAGGCAGCCTACCAGACAGCCAGCATGCAGCCACCAGAGGCCTGCTGCGTGCTTAAAGTGAATAGCACCTCCACGAGGCAGCTGACTGTGTCCTGTTCCTTGCCTGGCCCCTGAACAGAAGCACAGGAAAGGAAGGCCAGATGTCCGCAGTAAGAAAGAACACCTGGGGCCTTACCCAGGCAGGGCTGTGCGGGGAGCTGCCCTGGGGCAGCAGCAGCTTCACGATGTCCAAGTTGTTGTGGTGAACAGCCACATGCAGGGGCGTCAGGCCATTCTGCACAGGTGAGACAGGAGAAAGGAAACCACACTTAGGTGACTCACACAGGGAGCCCTTGGAGGACCCAGGGCCCACTGTGAGATTCACAAGTAAATCTGTCTAGAATTCACCCACAGCCGGCTGGCCAGGCATGGCTCAGGGGGAGGGCACTTGCCTAGCACACATGAGGCCTGGGTTCCATCCCCACTACTACAAAAATTAAAAGTTTTTTAAAAAAGGAAACTCCATCCAAGCCAGTCTTGCCTAGGAGTCACCATGGACACACACTACAGAGCTCAGGGCTGCCCTCACCCCTCAGGGCACCTTGGGGAACACCCTTTCTGCTGCAGGGCCTCCAGGAAAGGTGGCTCTGTCCAGAGGCTGCTCTCCCTGCACTGTTGGCCACCAGCAGCCCAGGGAGTTCACAAGCAACACCATGGACTCCCCTGACCAGGCAAGACCCACACTCACTTTGCCAGCAGCATTGGGGTGCGCCTGGCGTTCCAGCAGCAGCTCGGCCACCCGCACCTTCCCGTACTTGGCCGCCACGTGGAGAGGGGTAAATCCTTTCTGAGGAGAAACATGGGCTGTCAGATCCCAGAGCTGGCACTGTCTGCCCTGGAGGAATCTGGGCAGGGGATGCCAGGCAGACCAAGGGCACCTTGGTGGGGACCCCTGAGGCTGAACTCCAGGACCCTGCAGTGCACTCCCACCCTGGGACTCTCTCTAGGCAGGGACACCTGCGGGGATTGTCACCAAGTGTCAGCTTACTGAGGGCAGGGGCTGACTCTTACGCCTGTCTGCGATTGGTCAGGGAGATGCTGGCACTCGGTCCATGAGACATGGGCAGAGGCTACGTGGGCAGCGGAGCCTTGCCCCTGCCCTTTTCCCAGGAGCAGACAACGGTGCTCACAGAGATAACCAGGCCGAGGGGCACCACTCCCACCCGCCTCCGGTTGCTGCTGCTACGCCAGGACAGGGGAGGAAGGTGCACCTTGGTCATGCAGGCCTGAGATGCCTCCTTTTCCAGCAGGGCCAGGGCTGTATCCACGTGACCCTCCCGGGCTGCAATGTGCAGGGGAGTGTGCCCGGCCGTGGTGGCCAGGTTGGGGTTGGCACTGTTCTCCAGCAGGAGCTTCACCATGTGTGTGTGGCCGATTCGAGCTGCACAGTGAAGAGGGGTCTGGTCGTCCTGGACTCCACAACAACAGAGAACAGGAAGTGTTAATGCCCCAACCCAACTCTGTGTAGGTGGTGGCAGTAGGGTCACTGAGAACTGAGGGACAGTCCCAGCTCTTGTTAGTTTTAAACTTTTATTTTGAGACAAGGGCTCATTAAATGCCTAAGTTCCTCAGGCTAGACTGGAACCTCTGATTTTCCTGCTTCAGTCAAAGAAGCCAAGTGACTCTGTCAAGATTACATGCCAAGAAGATAAAGAGCTGAAATCCGAGTCACATCTCTGAGTTACTCAAACCCACATGCTCCATCTCTTAATTCTATAATTTCTCAAGAGAGTTGTTATTTCTATTTAGTTGCCCAAAAGCTCAGAATTCCCATCTGTAAAACAGGAATCTGCCTCATAGAGTTGGGGTCCAGATCAAACAGAGTTCAGAGTGGTGTTTCACATCCTGGGCACATGACAGACACTCAATAAATGGTATCTGCTGAGCCACCTCCCGGGTCCATTCTGGTGTCCCATCTTCAATTTGATTTTCTCTCTCAGGTGTCATGGCAGAGCCTGAGTTGCTGATGGAGGAAACTGCCCATGTTCTGATTTATGGCTAATGGCACAGGGGCTCACAGATGAGTCTTTGCTTTCCTGGGCTCACAGGAAGGTGTGGCCCAAACAGATCTGGTTCTGACCACAAGACCTGGGCCTGTGGCAGGGATGCCGACTCACAGCTACCAGCTCACAGATTAGCAGCTGTCCTCCTGGTCAGCACCCTGCCCTGACAGCACATTACAGCAAGGGGACCTCACTCCAGGTCAAGTGAGCCCTGGCTGACCGTCCTTAGGGACACTGTTTTCTCCTCTGGCCACTGATCATCAGCCCAGCCCACTGACCGCTGCTGCCAGCCACATTGTGCAGACTTTTGCTATTCTACTGAAACACAACTTGAAGAAAAAAGCATTTCTGTTTTGGTCAGACCCTCTGCAAAGCAGAATCTGAGCTTCCCAAGACCTACAGGAAATGACAGGTGAGGCAGAGCTGCGGACCTGCAGCCATGGCTCAGGGGAATGGAGGCACCCTCCTGAGTTCCTGCCCTGCAGGAGCCTACCTCCACCTACGCACCTTGGCCTTAGCATTGACTTTGGCTTTGTTCTGGAGCAGATATTTAGCCACTTCCGTGTGCCCTGCTCTGGCTGCCATATGTAGCGGGGTCTCTACTTTCTGTAAAATAACAAAATTACAGAATGGTTAAGACGTAATGGGTTTGTCATAGGACACACACAGGCTCCAAAGTGTCAGGCTGGAATGACTTGGGGAGTCTCCATTCAAGAAGTGGCACTGTTCCAGCACACAGCTCTTCAGCTTGCGTGCACGTGTGTGTGCAAGCCTGTATGTGTGTTCTAGGTATTCAGAGCTAATGAATATTATAAAATGTAAACATATTTCCAGGTAACACTACAAGAGTTACAAAATATCCAAAACGAAGACTCAAAGACCCACAGACATGTGACAAATGCAAATTGGAAAGCACTGGTACAGAGCAGTGATGGCAAACTTTTAAAGCTGGGTTCATCACCACTACTACACAGGAATGTACTTCCCATTTCTGAAGCCCTCACCACCCGAGAATTTCACCTCCATTCCCAGAAGGGAGACTCAGGGAGCCCCTGTCCACAAGGGCTTACCACATTGGAGGCATTGGGGGATGCCCCCCGCTGCAGGAGGGTCTTCACAATGGCCAGGTGCCCCATGAAGGAAGCCACATGGAGAGGCGTCAGGCCAGACTAGAAGAGACCACAGCAGACAGAGTAGGTGGGGCCGTCCTGGGGGACAGGTCAGCAAACCCAAGGCTTCCACCTTGCTAGATGCTCAGGGCTGCATCTCCAAGAGGAAGAACTTAAAGGAAGTAGTTTTGCCTTCATAACAAAGGCCTGAGCAACAAAATCACTGGGGGAATGTTCTGCCCGCCTTTGATCTTGTGAAACTCTCTGAGGCTTGAAACATGTGCCCGTCTCAGTCCCCATTCAGTCTGATCAGCACAGGCACACATATGTGCACACACATGTAAGCATACACCCCTGGAGCTGAGGCAGCTCTGAAGAAGAACTAGCTCTCCGAGCGGGCAAGGGCTCAGGGACAGAGGCCGACCCAGAGCCAGGGCGCACGTCCTACCTCAGTAACCGCTTCGATGGAAGCCCCCGTCTTGAGCAGCAGCTCCATGACACGGACATGGTTCTTCTTGCAGGCGATGTGCAGGGGGGTGAAGCCATTCTGCAGCCCCACACAAAGGGAGACAGACGTCAGCGTGAAGCACTAGCCCTGAGTACTGCACAGCAGCCCCAGTGCCTCTAGACAATGAGAAACCAAGCCCGCGGGTTGATCTTGTGATGGCCGCTAGAGTAGATGGCACTGAGAAACGGGGCTGCTGCTTTGCGTACGGGCCTGTTCCTGAACCTGCTGTTCAGGAGAATTCTGTCGCACTTCTGGACACACTCCACAAAGCTCTGGAAGGCTCCATTTGCAATAAAGAGCCCTTTTCAGAAGCAAATCCTGTTCTTCCCGCCATGACCCAGCAGGCGGTCTTGGGAGAGGTGGATTTCTGCCCCCAAGTGAGATTCTGCAGTGCAGACTCCACAGGGCAGGGCCAAGGTCTTTTGTCTGTCTTTGGTCTCAGGAAGAGAAGTCGTGCGAGGGAGAGGGGCTGGGCTGAGCCCTCCCCTGACAGTGACAATGTCCAGAGACACTTCTGTCACAACAAGGAGAAGCTACTGGTGCCCAGTGGTGGGGGCTCAGGATGGTGCCTGGGACAACACGGGGCAGCTCCCAATGTCAACTGTCCCCTGACCGTGAGGCCATGGCCAGCACTCAAGGGGTGCTGTGGAGCAGTTTAATGATGGGCTCCCCTCTGCTGCCCCAGGGCTCCCCTCTTAGACAGGCAAGGTACGAGGTGTGGTGCTCAAGCTCTGAGCAGACAGATGGCCTGCCAGTCCCCGAAGCCTGGAGCTCCCAGGGCACTGGAGATGGCACCGTGCCTCGGCTCCTGTGCCCCAGCTCACATACACACTGAATGTCAGCCTTTGGGCACAGCCCCAGCCCTGATGTCACTGTCTCCAGGGGGCACTTGTGCTGCTCTGGCCTGGGCCCCTTCTCAAATCGCCACCAACTCACCAGAGCTCTGGAGTTGGGCTTGGCCCCTTTATCCAGTAGGACCTTGGCCACCCTGTGATGGCCACAGTGGGCCGCCACATGGAGGGGGGTCAGATGGTCCAGGGTGATGTCATCTATCTCTGCATTGTATTGCAACAGAAGTCGGACACAGTCGAGGTGGTCTCCCTGAGCCGCCATATGTATCGGGGACAAGCCATTCTGGGTGAAGAAGAAACAAGCGGTCACAAAGCCTTCTAGGGAGGGAACACAGAGTCAGGACAATGGTGCCTGAGTCAGACACCAAGTGACAAACGGAGTGACACTGAAGTGACAAGGTCACTTCCAACCCCTCCAACTCGGATTCCCTAGGAGCCTCTGACACCACACTCTCCTCACCCAGCTGGACCTCCTCACCATGTCCCGCCAGGCCTGCCTCTTCCATGCAGCCGCTCTGGCAGCCAGGGCCTCCCTGCCACACTGGCTGAGCCACTTCTTGGGTGTGTGTGTGTCTTTCCTCCCAATACACCAGTGTGTCAACGCCTAATGTTTCTCCATGCCTCCAGTGGGCCCAGAATGCGTGTGTCACCCCCACCGCTGTCTCTAATCAACTCAGTCTTAAGGGAAGAAAGGAGGCAGGTCACCACCTGACTCTAAGTTCCTCTGTTCTTGGCCTCAGCACACACGTCCATGGTTTCATGAGCCAGCTTTATGCCACCCTTTACTTTGACAGGTTTTTAAATTCACCCCAAACCACAGGCCAAGGCCTGCAGCAGGGACAGGCAGCACCGTGGAGTGACAGCCTCAGGCCCGCCCAGAAACGTGAGTCTTCATATTAGAACCTAGAAATGAGCTTTGTTCCTGCTGCTAATGGGGTCTGAGAGAACAGTTTTGCTTTGTGGAGTGCGTGTGTGTGCATGCGTGTGTGCGTGCGTGTGTGTGTCTGTGTGTACTGAACCCAGGGCCTTTGCATTGAGATACATCTATAGTTCTTTTTTTAGTTAAATTTCTTATTTTGAGACAAGGTCTTGCTAAGTTGCCCAGGCTGGGCTTGAACTTTTGATACTCCTGCCTCAGCCTCCCAGAATGCTGGATTATGCTTGCTAGTGTTCTTTCTGTCTCTCTTTTGTCTTCCTTCTCTCACTTCATTTCTTCCTTTTTGGGCTACACTAGAGGTTGAGCCCTTCATGTGAGCCTTCATGCTGAGCTACATCCCCACCCCTTTTTATTTATGTATTTTACTTCAACACAGGGTCTGAGCTGCTAACTTCCTCAGGATGGGCTCAGCCTTGCAGTCCTCCTGCCTCAGCCTCCCAAGTGCTGGAATTATACACTTGTACCACCATGCTGCCCAGCCTAGCTGTTTTCTTTCTGGTTTCACTTCCATCTGGCCTAGGCTCGGCAGATTTGTAGTTTTTAGCTCCTGTCTTTCCTGGAGCTAGAATGAAAGAAATAGCAACTGATTTAGAAAAGTAGGCAAACTACAGCCAGGAGGCTGAATCTAGTCCACTCCCCGCGTTTGTGGATAAAGTTGTATTGGCACAGGGCCACTGGCTTGCGTTTGATTAGGGCTGCTCTTCTGTTCCACTGGCAGAATTTAATTATTGCAACAGAGTGGCCTGAAAAGCCTAAAAATATTTAATACCTTCAGATAAAAAGCCTGCCAGCTTTGACAAGCATGGCAATAAATGTCGCAGGCAGGCTGCCTTTAGCTGTAGTAGCATCTGTCTTTTCCAGACATGGGACTCCCTCCCAGATGCACGTGGCCCAGAGCCCAGCCCAAGAGACCCCTCCCAGGAGGGGGCACAGACCTTGGTTTTGGCCTGGATAGGTGCTCCGTGGTCGAGCAGGATCTCTGAGATGCGCACGTGCCCGTTCCGAGCTGCACAGTGGAGAGGTGTCAATTCATCCTGTAAAAGAGTGCAAAACAGAAAGCTGGAAGACACCTGTCAGAGGTCAAGAGGGAGCAGCTGGCTGTAGAGGTGTGGACCGCTTCCCTCAGCCAGCCCAGCTTTGTTCCCACACCCACCGCTGCAGGCTGTCCCTGGGTCTCCAAGAGGCTGCCCTGATGCTGGGACAGGTTAGCGACAGCAGAATCCAGCTCCCCCATCTCGCGCAAAGCAGGCTGGGACCCACCTTGGTCCTTGTTTCTATGTGCGCCCCCCGGTCCAGCAGGAGCCGCACCATGATCACGTTTCCCCTGCGGGAGGCGATGTGCAAGGGGGTGATGCCGTTCTGCGGGGAGGAGCAGGCTGGTCAGGACACAGAGTCTTTCTCCCCAAGACCTGGCATCCCATGTTGGCCCTGCCCACCACCCATCCCACAACTGCTGCAGAAGCAGCAGGAGACCTTCCAGACACCAGGGCTGCTTTGGGCACAGCTCCATGGCCTGACAGGCCGGAGAGCAGCCGGAGAGGTACCTGCGGGGTGAAGTTGACGCTGGCACCCCTGTTGAGGAGGAGCTGGGCCACGCTGAGGTTCTCGTAGTGGGCGGCGATGTGGAGTGGGGTGAACCCAGTCTGGGCACAGAGAGAGAGCAAGAGGAAACCTGTCACCTGTGGCTACTGGCACCTTCACCAGGCCAGCCCAGGATTTCTGGGAGGGCCCGAGACATACAGAAGCCTATGATGGATGGCGATATTTGCAGAGACCAACAGACACTTGTGTAAGTTGTGTTTTAAAGCGAGGCACAACTCTGGGTGACCATGCTGTGGCTCATGGGGTTACCTCAAGTCCTTGCCCACTCCCCTGGAAGGTTGCTTATGAAGAAATCTAGTTCATGGATGTGGGTGGCATACAGCCCAGATCCTCAGCCGCCCACCCCCAGGCTGACCTCCGATCTCTCTGACCCTGTTTTGTGTCCCTGCATCACATCCGTGTACAGTTAGCCGTGTCCCAGACCACGCCTGGCTGGGAAGGTCTGTGTGACAAACAGTACAACTTCAGCCCATGGAGGAGACCCGCCTACAGGCGCGGGGTGTATCAGACAATGCAGATGAGGGACTGGCCAGGCCTCCTTGGGAGCCCCTTCCCCACACCAGCCCCTATGCGGTGGGGACACTTCCTCCCTGCCAAGGGACAAGGTTAGGGAGAGGAGACCGAAGTCAAAACACCGCCTCCGCAGGCCCCAGGAGATCACCCACCCGCCAACGCTTGGATCCTCTCTGGGAACATCTGCTTGTGGGGCGCACCAGGGCCCTTGCGCATGCTCAGGCCGTGAGGGTCCACGATTGCAGCTAGTGGGCAAGAGCCGTGGGGGCAGGGCCGCTCCTGGCGCAGGCTCGCGCCTCACCTTGGAAAGCACATCCGGGTTGGGGTCATTCTGCAGCAGCACGGCGGCAGTTCGTGTGTCGTCGTTGCGGGCCGCGATGTGCAGGGCCGGGAGGCGCACCTTGCCTTTCGTCCCGTAGTTGATGAGGTGGGCCACCACGTTCTCGTGGCCCTGCTGCAGAGCCACAGCCAGCGGAGTGAAGCCGTCCTGCAGAGGAGAGAAAGGCTGATTAGCGCAGACAGAGACTGGAGGCACCTTCCGCCGTTGTGAGCTCTTGCTGGCCAGCACCGCAGATGAGCAGATGAACCGACTCCCGAGAGCCACTGTGAATGCAAAACCTACCACCACCTCCTTGGGGCCTTCTGGGTCCCCCGGGCCTGCAGTGATTTTTCTTTAGCGTGTAACTTTCCCTGACATTTGGCTTCAGCCTGAATGTTTGATATAAAAGTCTTTTTTTTTTTTAAGTATTGGGGATTGAATCCAGGGGCTTTGCACTGAGCTACATTCTATTTTTTATTTTTATGTATTTATTTATTTATTGCAATGGGATCTCATTAAGTTGCCCCAGATTGTGTTTGAACTTGCAATCCTCCTGCCTCAGCCTATCAAGAGTGCCAGGGTTACGGGTAAAGGCCAGTTTATGAGAGACTTTTCACTGCTCCTTCCTTGTCTTTTGGTCTAAACTGCCTCTCGTCCATCTTCCAGTGCCGGTATTGAGCCTTGAAGATGTAAGAATATTCTCAAGCACCTACCACACACTAGAAAGAGAGTCAGGCCTAGAGCACTGTCTGGGAGTTACTAAGGTTACTTCCCTCAGCTGCACGTGCCCTTGAGCATTCCAGAACTCCATGAAGTGCTGCTACCACGATGTAACAGGGTCATCCGGTCACTGAGCCACGCAGTGCCAAGGCGGTAGAGAAACCCGCTCCTTCCAGCCCCGTCCTATCATTCATAAGCAAGTCTTACGATCAGAGGTAAGAGAACTTGCCCAGGGGTTGTGACAAGACCCTCAGAAGACCGCGGGCAGCCTGTCACTCTGACATGGCACCCCGCCAGCCAACTGTTGGTGCTGGCACGGCAGGAGTGATGTCCTTGAGTCTGGCTTCCCTTCTCTGCTGTGTGCCTGGGCCTCCCCCCTCATTCCCTTGTGGGACTCAAGGGCGCCCTGGAGCACCTGGTGAACCTGACCTCCATGGCGACGCATGGCAGTGACGCCACATGCCCAGGTGTCTCCCACAGTACTTACCTCTGTGGCCACGTTCTGATTAGCTCCATTTTCCAGTAAGAACTTCACCACTTCCAGGTGATTCTCTTGTGCTGCCATGTACAGGGGCGTGAAGCCTTTCTGCAAGCCCAGAGAAAAACCATTCACCCACAGCAGCAAGGGATGCAAAATCGGGCCAGTTCCCCTTCCTCTCCACTTGGCCCCCGCTCTGGGAACCTGTGGTTATGCTGAATTGGGTGGTGTGGGGAGACCCTGCTGTGCACCTTCACCCCTTACTGGTCAGTCTCAGCTTCCAGTGACCTCTCTGCTTTTGCTCCCTTCTTCATTAGCTCCTCCCTACCACACATAAAATTTATCTCCCTAATTGACCCGTGACTAAAATACTTTATGGCTGATATAGTGAACAGATATAGGGTCTGCAACGCCCCAACCTCAACCTGTAGAACCATGAAAAAGCGACAAAGGCCAATAACGTGGTGCTGACAACCCCAGGCTGCCCGGGCTGTGCGCATGTGCACAGCACAGCTGGCCCTCCGCGGCGCCTCACCTGCGACTGGGCGTTGACATTGGCGCCGTAGTTAACCAGCTCCCGGACCACCTCATTCTGGCCAGCGAGCGCGGCGATGTGCAGAGCGGTGTTTCCCTTCTACAACACACAGGGATGGGTGGGCCAGAGGCCGTTCTCTCAGCGCCACAGGATCGGGAACAAGGCTGAGAGCCCAGCAGCCTTCTCTTGGGTCACGCACGGGAGGTGGAAACCCCTGTGTGGCTGGCCTAGCCCACACTAATGATAGTACCAGAACGTGGGCGGGAAATGCTTAGGTGGCCCATGAACAGCAGCACTGTGCATACGGAGGCACGCAGGATTGGCCACCGTGGCCCCTCTGTGGGAGCCCAGGGCTTGTGGCCCTGAGGTCTCGGGGTGTGGGGCAGGGAGGGGTTGTGCCCAGGCACCTGCGGCTCCATTCCAGGGCACTCAGAGCCCTGGCCGATCCCGGAGCTCCGGGAAAGGGCGGCGGGCACCATGCATGGCCTGCTCCGTTCTCCTGAGGGCCAAGCGCTGGGCAGAAGGGACAGAGGCTACGAGGACAAGTGAGGAAGCAAAGCAGTGAAGAGAAAATGGTGAGAAGCACTCTAGGTGTCTGCGGGGAAGAGACGGAAAACACAAAAGCAAGTGGGGGGACATCGGTGGAATAAAATCTGGCAAAGGAAATATAGTGAAAGAAGATTCAAAATATTAATAAGTACATCTGGATGAGCAAGCTTTCACCAGACTGCCCAAGCGAGAAACATAGTAAACCCTGGGAGAAAAATGAATAACACAGTTGTTTCAAACTTTCAAAAATAAGAACCAATAACAAGTCCGGCAAGGTAGTGCATGTTTGTGCTTCCAGCTACTCAGGAGGCTGAGGCAGGAGAGCCACTACCATGGCCCAAGCAGACACTGGGCCATATTTGGGGACATTCTGGGTTCAGATTGTACTCAGCCCTTCCAACAGATAGGGCAGAAGGAGATCACAGGACCACAGCTGTATTCTTCTGTCGCTGTACTACCTAAGGAGCAGAGGTTACAAGGAACTTTGTCTTTGATAGTTCAGTCGGGCCCTCAAACCCTCAGATTGTGCATCTCAGGAGTCAACCAAGCTTGGCCTGAAAGTATTACAAAACTACTGCCCCTGTATTGAACACATATTGAATTTGTTCTTGTTGTTGTTCCCTAAACAATATCATATGACAGCTACTTACAGAGCACTTGCATTGTGCTGGACATCTAAATCATCCAGTGACAATGCGGGGTCTGCTGGACAGTGTGTGAGAGTTATGCCATTTGATATAAGGGGTCTGAACATCCTAGATTTTGGTACCTGTGTGTTTCCTGGAATTGATTCTTCCAGGATACAGAAAGATGAGTGTATATGTTTTTTGAACTAAACTACATGGACATGTACTAATCCATCTCCAGAGGTGACAAGCGGGGACTTCAAACACAGTCCCTGACGGGGGCCATCTGTTACCCGTATATGCAGCTTGCTCACCCAGGAGGAACTGAGTGGTACATGCCAGGCTCTGTAGCCAGTACATGGCCAGTGCTGCCCATGGTCCCAGGTAGAGGGCACCTGAGGCAGGCAGGAGCTCAGCTCTTTGTTTCTTGAGCTTTGGTTTGTTTCGGTACCAAAACTTGTATCAGACAGAAGTTTCCTGTTTTTTTGCCTCCCAAAGCTATCTTTTTAATTTCTCCTTAACTCCTATTTCTTCATCAAGCATTCCTCAGAGAATAAGCATCAGAAATAAGTTATAGATGATAGTTAATTTTTCTCCAAGTGGGAACCTGAAGAACCTACTTTAAAAGCTTTGGAACTGGGTGCTGTCCAACTTGATCCCGCTTGGGCTCCATTCACTGTCCTGAGTGGAACAGGGCTATGGGCATCAGAAGCTTCTCTACACACCAGGGAGCCCAGTCATCTCCTGTGGACAAGGAGGGGACTGCACCCCTTATGTGGCCAGGCAAACACACTGCGAGGGTGCACCTCGGTGGGAGGAGGCGCACAGGGCAGCTGAGACACATCTGTGCAGGGCTTCCTTCCTCGGACTCCCCCCGCCTGGTATGCCCACGTTGGCCTCCTCTGCCTGTGAGATGGGGAGGCCTGCTCTTTTGACAGGTGGTCTACGTGGAACCCCGGCTGCAAATCTCAGGTGGCACCATAAGAGGAGGCAGGGCTGGTGAGAAGTGGCACAAAGGGAAGGCCTTGGAAATGGGCCTCTGCCCTTCCGTGTGCACATGGTCACTTGGACACACACACATCCCACAAACCTCAGGAAGGCCACTGTGGCCTGACTCTGTGTTCCCTGCCCCGCGGTGGGCATGGAGGAACTGGGCCTCCAAGGAGCACCACGTAGGTGCAGCTTCTCGGATTTCAGAGTCTCAGAGAACCTGAGCAGGGAGGCGTGGCCCTGGTGCCCAGTGCGGGTGAGCAGAGGGGAGGCCGGCTCCACTAGCTGCTGCAGGGAGCAGTGTTTGCTCACGTGTTCACACTTCTAAAAGAAGCACAGCTTGGGAGCCTGGATTGGTTTTGGCTCGTCAAGGTTTTATATTTTTAATCCTTCCCAGGCTTGGAGACCCAGTGCAGTTCCTCAATCTGTTAGGAGGCTTTCTTAGCCCACAGTTTAAGTTTCACTGTTCTTCCCCCCTCCCTCTGTGTGGCATTCCAAAATCTCATTGACTTCTAAAATGTCTGTAAATAAAAAGACTCACCAAGTGTTCACTGCAAAATAACAATCCAAGAGGGGAATTTGTAGAGTAAAAGAGCTGAAGCAGAGTTTCCACAGCTCTTGGAGAGGTGCCAGGGAAGCATGGCCGTGGGCCTCAAGAGCCTGTCAGATGGTACCTGCTTGCAGCCAGGTACAAGATAGCATCGAGCAAATGATCACCGTGGCATCTCTCCCCCCACAGATTGGACAGGAAACAGGGTTAGGAAAACATCCACAGCCAGGAAGAGTAGCTTGGTTTAGTTCATTTTACCAACGAATGCAAGCGAGATCCTTTCACATTGGGAAAATGACATGAAAATTACAGAATTTACCTCAAGAGATGATTCTACCTTCATAATATTTTGGTAGTTCACTTCCTACCCATAAATTATATCTATTCCCCGCATACTGCTCTTCTGTGTTCTCTCCTTGTGAGGCAGCAAAATACTTGCTGCGAGGAGCTGACATTGAGGCTGTATGAGACCCCGTGTGCCGAATCCCAGACGGGAAATAAGAGGCGGGGGGACTTGAGTGCACACGCAGGAGGAGCAGGGGCAGAAGGAAAAGGACAGTCCGGAGCTTGTGCTCGAAAATGGAGACGATTTTTTGTTGTTGTTTAATGATCAGTTTTGCTTCTTAAATCTAGCCTGTACCTGTTTAATAAACAAGTTTAAGAAATAAAACTTTTCCTGGACTTTCTTGTACAGGCCTCAGTAACAAGTGACCAATATTACCGGTTCCTCCCTATATGCCTGTGTGCACTGTATACATCACTGTGCTGTGACTGAATATTACACTCCTGGTGTTAAACGAGGAAACTGAGGCAAGGCTGCAGGTCAGTGGCAGCGGAGCACCTCAGCTGGATCTGAACCTGAGGCTTCTGACTCCCTGTATGAATCAGCAGCCTGCGGAAAAGGGTCGGAAACTTGGAGTTGGGGTCTGGGAAGGAGAAAAGTAGAGGGCCCCTGACTTTCTGCAAGTAGGGTCCTGTATGTCAGGTGGCATCAGGGACTCGGAAAACTGGGAAATGACTGGAAGGACAAGACAAACTCAGATCTCTGTTTGGGTTTTTCTCCCAAAGGCTGGCTCCCGGGCCAGTGTTTGGGATAACATGAAAGGGTCCCACAGCTTGGAATTCTCAGTGCAAAGAGCCCCCATTTTCCATGAGACATACCTTGGTTGTTGTTTCTAAAATGATCTCCTTGTGCAGAAGTTCAACCACCATCTTCACGTGGCCTTCCTTGGAGGCCAGATGCAAGCCGTTCAGCCCATTCTGCAAAGACATAGGTAGCTTAGTGAGCTGTGCACCCTGCCTGCCCGAGAGGCTAGGAGCAGGACGGCGCTGGAGTGCTGGGCTGTGGTCTTCAGGGTGGTGGCAGTCTTCTCGCTCCCGGAGCGCAGTGCTCCAGCCTCCCTGAGCACCTATGGTGTAGGTAGGGGTATGCGGGCCAGGACAGCAGAGACAGAAAGCATGATCACAAGATCACATTCCCTGGATATTAGTGACGTGGGGAAGCACTCCCAAAACCAGCAGAGGGAACTCTTGGTTCAGATCCTGGATAGACAGTCTTTGGGCTTGCTGTGGTTTGGAAGTGGCCCCTAAGACCCACATGGGAACAGCCTTTAAGAGTCCATTTGCAGGGGCTGGGGATTTAACTCAGTGGCATAAGCGCCTGCCTTGCAAGCTTGAGGTTGTGAGTTCAATCCCTGGTACAAAAAAAAAAAAAAAAAAAAAAAGTCAATTTGCAGGAAGTTAGGTCCCTAGAGGCCTTTGAGAGGGATACTGGGGTGCAGGTGTCTTGCCTTTAGTCTCCCCTCTCTTTTTCTTGTTTTCAAGAGTGGAACCACTCTCCCCATAATGTACTGTGTCAATCACCACTGGCCCAAAGTAATAGGGCCAAGAGACCAGGGACTGAAACCTCTGAAACCATGAGCCAAAATAACCGTTTTCTCTTGCTGATTTTTTTCCTCAGGTATTTTGTCACAGTGATGGAAGGTGCACTAACATAAACATTGCCACGTAATAGAAATGAGTGGTAAAGCTTCAGGGCACAGGTCAGTTTTTACAGCAATGACCAGGAAAAGCAAACATGACTCCATTGCCTCTTCGACATCTGCAGAACTTGACATAATTTAGCAAGATGACGAATGTGCCAAACAAATGGGAGTAAGTACTCCCACCCAGCCAGCGATACAATTTCCTCCTTAGAAAAATCAGCATAAAAATTATTCCTTTGCAAACTTGCCATTTCAGATGTGACCAAAGAAGCTTCCCTGTAGCTATGCTGTAGCAAAAACAAAAGAAAACAAAACACATTTTTCATGCCCAACCATCCGCCCACAAAAGTAGGCACTTCCCTAACCAACCAAAGCTCCAGTCAACCTGAGAACTGTCTGTGCTGCCTGGAAAGCACCCAGCTCAGGATGCATTGTTGCACTGGTGCTTCTGACCCTCCACCTCAAGGTCCCAAAACTTTCCAGCAAAACGTGACATGTGAGAACGAACATGACTCAGCAGATGTGACTCAGAGCATAGGTCATTTGCTTACACAGTGGAAGGAGGCTCGGCTCTCACGCGCACGAGATCTGGTTTGAAGTCAGTAAGCCACCTCTGTCCCCAGCCTCTTGGGTTGTTCCTCCCTCATCCTGCCCCAACAGTTCTCTTCCCTCCCCTCTCCATCTCCTGTTTTGATCAGGTTGGTTCCAGCACCTTCCTTTCCAGGGAAACCACTGAGCCACTGCAAGCCGTGCCCAATAAAAATGACCACACGGGGTGGCTGCCCACAGACTGGCACAAGGGTCCCTGGCTCTCCTGCCCCACCGTGGTTCCTGAAAGTCCCACTCTCCTTGGGTCTAGGCATCATTTTCAGAAAATTCCTATTACATGCAAATAAGCATCCTCCCTGAAAGCAGTCAAGTATTACCATCCCATCACTGAATAGTCTTGTTGCTTCACCATAATGAGCAAAGGAAAGCGCCCTGGAGTGAGGACTTGGGGAGGAAAGCATTCAGAACTCCACCGAGAAGCTTAGCAGGGTGGCGGACAGGTGCAGGGCAGGGAGCCAGGGCTGCACAGGAGCTGCTGCACGCTGTCAGACCAGGCCAAACCCGCACCTTGAGAAGTCCATGAGTAGAGCTGCCAACTCCGCCACAAGCACAGCCAGCTCTAGCAGCACATGTGTGTGTGTGTGGGGGGGGGTGTTTGCATCGCATCTGTGTGTGTGCACATGTACGTTTATGTGTGCGAGCAGGTGTACATTTGCGTCACCGAGATACCTGACAATAGCCATTAGATTCCCTCCTGGTCTGTACACCATTCATCACAGGACCCAAGCTGTGTGCATTCTTCACACCTCAGGATGAATGAGTCTATCAGACCAAAGCTAGGTCACAGCCAGTTTTAATAACAAAGGCAGAAAGCAGGCTTGAAGGCAGCAGCTGCCTGTTCTAGTAGGAGGCTGGGGCAGGTGGAGGAGCATCAGCAGACACAACCCATTCCTCTCAACTCAGTCACAAAACATGAATTCAGGCAAGAGCAGTGTGCCCAGTGAGGCTCTGCAGAAGCCCTGAGGTATCCCACCCTGTCCACACCTCTTCCAGGACCTGCTCCCCTCCAGGGCACTGCCGTCCCTACTGGCTGGCACACAGCACCCACACTGCCCTTCTCAAGAAGATTTCAGAGGTTCTGGGCATGATAGCCACTTGGGGATGTTGTAGGAAGTAGTGGTAGTGACAGCAGCTGCTTCGTGTGTTCACTGCAGAGGTCGACTCCAGTAGGGGCATTGCCAGGTGGCTCTGGTGCCAGCTGCAGGACTCAGTGCCTGCTCAGGGGCATGGTCACCACCATGGCACCAATCAATGCTGAAGGCCTCAAGCAGGGAGCTGGCAAACCTGGCAGGTAATACTGAGTGCTCACTGCTAGTGCTGGGTGGCTCATGTCGGCTCTTTGGGGACAGTGTCCAGAGCTCAATCTGGAGGGATCTAAATATTTTGTGCGACCAGACAATGCTACATTGAAAAGGACCCTGAGATCTGCTGCAGACTGGGCAATGACAAGCTCAAGTCACACGGCTGTTCTAGGGCACAAGGCACACCCCACAGACCCAGCCTCTTCCCGGGAGAGAAGGGCCAGGGCGTGCACCCCAGGAGCTAGTTCACTTTTCATCAGACGACGAAAACACGCTTTCCCCTTTTCATTACCACGAAGCTGAGAGCAAACAGTCTCAGTATTCTGCTGGGCGGATCTGGTTGTAGGTTGTATTTGAGCACTAGGATGTTCCTAGCTGCCCCTTGGTTGTCCTCCCTGGTCAGAAGGTGCCACTCTTTAATAAGAGGTGGCTGATCTGAGTGGGTCTGCAGCTCTCGGTTTGACTCAGCTTCCAGCCCAAGTCCTGCTCAATGCTCTCTTTTGTCCTTATGACGCTCTCATTGTCTTGCTTTATTCAGCTTATTTCTGTCCAGTGAAATCTCCCCAGCTTACCTCCCCATCTGTGATCATGGTGACCTGCATGCAGTGTCTGCATGTGAGCCACTGAGCAGGCACAGAGAGGCTCAGCCGAGGAGGCTGTGGGGGACGGTCCAGAACCACACGTGTAACAGAAGGGCAGCAATCCTGGCTCCACCTCAGAGCTGACACTGCCGCCCAGGGCCGGCAGCTACTCCTCCACACGTGAACACACAGTTGCTGAGACCCTGCCAGGCCCGGCAGTGCCCCACAGATGAATGAAAAGCAAACTCTTCCCTTGGAGACCTCAGTAAGGGAAGAGGAAGCAGATATGTTCAAAGTAAAAGCAAATCATTAAAAAGAAAATGCCCAAATGGCATAAATAAGACTAGAAGTAGACAGGGGAGAAAGAACTGCTCTTTTCAGGGCCTTGAGAGCTTCGCAGAGGGCTTTCAAGGCTGTGTGGCATCAAGGTCACAGGTTCATCAACAAAAGTGAAACGAGAAGCTTGTAGAGTGGAGTTTGAAATCCACGCGGGAACACTGTGGCCACTGCACCCGAGCCCCTGTGGAGCCCTGGCTCCTGGCCTCCTGGGCGCTGTGACCGGAAGCAAATTTCTGGCCCACAGACATAAGATGCTTGGACCACTGACTTCTTGAAAGCATACTAGTTCAGACAAGAGGCCACTTCTGTTCCACGAATAAACACTGAACTTAAAAATTTTCTTTCTCTTTAAACCATTTTTAATTGCTCAAATGCAAAGGGGAAGGAGAGGTGCAAATCATGTGAACTACTTTCCTTTGCTGTGATGTGAACAGAGATGAACTGTAATTTCCCACCCCTTCAGAATCAGGAACTGTATGTTTTATCTCAGTTAAATCAAGCGGGAGCCAGTTGCCAAAAGTAAAAGGCAGGCTGCTGAACCTCGCCTTTGCCCAGCAGTTCCATCCAACCCTCTCAGCCCCCTCTCCGGCTGCCTCGTGGCAGACAGGCTGCTGAGTGGCTTAGGAGAGGGATACACTGCGTGCTTCTCCACTCGAATAACAGGGCATAGACGAGAAGCAGAAACGAAGTGGAGAAATATGAGAAGAAGCTTGCACTACCGTAGAGGCTGGAGAGAAGCACATACTACCTGTGGCTATTTTTTCAGCCACATGGCTTTCCCTGGAGGGAAGCCAGCCTGCTGGAGTCCTGTCCCACCCCCTTCCTCCCAGGACTCCACCTCACGTGTGTCTGCCCCAGAGTCTCACTCTGGTCTAGTTTTTCTTTACTCCTTCTTCTCTTTTGTTTTAATCTGAATAATTTCTCTGGATTTATCCTTTTAAATTCTCTCCTGAGCTCTCTGCAGTCTGCGGCCTGTCAGAGAAACTGTTCATCACTGAGAAAAAGTTTTTATTTCTAGAATTTTATTTTATTTGAGTTTTTCTTGGAATTCCCTCTCTTGGCTGAAATTCTCCATCAGCTCATGTGTGTGATCCACTTTCCCCTGCAGGCCCTGTAACACAGTGACAGCAAACCTTTCAGAGCTTTCAAGAGCACAAATTTATGTAAGTTTGCCACCACTGCTTGAACATCTTGGTCACAGTCTGTTCCAGCATCTCACTCAGCTTTGTGTCCGTTTCTGCTGATTGCTTTGTCTCTTGCAGGGGTTTGGTTCCTTATACTGTGTGCATTATAAGTTAGAACAGAACGTCAGACACCATGCGGAAAGCAGACGAGAGGTTGAGGTAAGTGGGATTATGTCACAGCATGCAAAGGAGGCTGAGTTACCCAGCTGGGAGCTGAACTGGGCTTCTTAGTGTACCCTGGCCTCCACTTCCTCAGAAGCA